ATCTGGCTGCTACACTCCCCCTCGCTCTCGTTCCTGACACTAGATGGCGCTAGTTGACTTATTCATGCAACACTATTTTCATTTTCCTTACACTTCATTAACACCATCCTTACCATTTCCCAAAACTGCTCCCGGATATAAGTGGGCTTAGACATGTCTGGGGCGTAGACCCCTAACACAAACAACTTCTTTAAGCCCACTTTCATTTGTATCCATAGCAGTCTTGGGCTTACACATTCATACTCTTTCACATTGGCCCATTCGTTCTGAAAGGATGATACCTACTCCCTGGCATGCCCGCTCGATCTCGTCTACACCAGACCAGTATGCGGTATACATGCCATGTGCAGTGACATCCTTCCCCTTCCTTTTCGTCTCATTTACACATAATACATCTATTCCTCTATCATACATCATATCGCATACTTCATCCATTTTATCATTCATAGCCCCACATACATTCAACGTAGCCAGACGGGCCTCTGCAATCCACTTTTCACCTCTCTGGGAGACAGAACGTGACGGGTGGCGAACCTCGTCGCCGGTTTTCCTCCCGGAGATTCTTCGCACCCCTGCCCCATTAAAGGGGCGCCGGGAACTCGGGGCCATTTCTTTTACTTTTTGCCTCATGGTGCGAAAACTAGGGCGTGGCATATTTTACGCCGCTACCACACGGCGAGTAGCCGAGTCTGTTCTTTCGGCTTTGTCGCTCTTTTTGGCACCACCCGGGGGAAACGTGTAGGGTGGGCCTAGGATTAGGCGGTCGATTTAATTAGTAATTTGTTTATTATGTTTATATATGTTTTCATAATATGTTTGAATCTTTTTTGTTATCATGGATACGTTTTTTATTAACGACGTTTACGGAACGAATATTAAAAACGAACCTGTTATTTGTTTGGAAGCTTCCGCTCTGGAAATGTTGACCTGAAAAATGAACCCCGTGGTTGGCGATTGTGTAAGCTGATGACACTCAATCTACGGCTAACTTAGCAGCTTTCGACGTAGCACAGGATAAAACGGTTTGTAAAATGGGTGCCCTACGAACTCAATATCACCAGGCTCACTCAGGCACACAAACGAAGGGATTTTGTGCCGCATTGTTACTTGCGACAAAAAATGGATCCTGATTGACAATCGCAAGCACTCAGCAAGTTCGTACGATCCTGGTTTAGCACCTAATTAGTGCCCTAAACGAAAACTTATCCCTATAAAAATGATGGACACTGTTTCGTGGTCTAGCGCCGGTGTGATTTATCACAACTTACCAAACGTTATGAGCATTACTGCAGATGTGTACTGTGAAGAGCTGAATACAACGAGCGAAAAGCTCGCACGTCTCTCACAATCTTTGGTCAATCGCTCGTTCCCGCTGCTATCGATGCAATCTCATACTGCACAACAGACGGTCTCCAAGTTACAAGTGCTGAGATTGATAGCTCTTTGTCATCCGCCGTACTCACCAGACTTTGCGCCTACTTCTAGACTAGAGTTCTACTTTTTCCAGAATTCGGATAACTTTTTGGTGGGAAAAAATTCAATACCAGAGAGACAGTACAAAATGATTTTGATGAAATTATTGCCTCCCGTCCAGCTGATTTCTTCAAGAAGGGCTACAATAAACTACTGCCACTGCGTGCCAAACACGCATCGATTGCATGGGTTGATGGAATGATGGGATTACTTTGATTAATATAAATAAAAAATAAAGAAAGAAATTACATAATCTTTTTTCATAAAAGACGGCAACTTCATAGGTAAGGGCTTATATTAAAAATGCAGATGCGTTGCTATCCCTAAAGACTAAGCTGAAATCCCTCAATAACAGTAAATAAAGTTTCCGGCTTTCGTCACTTACGATACGAAACACAGGTATTATGGTACACAAAACTTATTTGAATTTTGGGACAAATGGTTTGAATTGGGATATGGATAAAAATAGTGACGGCGTCATGTAAGGTGTTAGAAACTTATTACAGAACGAAATTAAATATTTTAATTTTATTTTTTTTTATAGGATAGGGTGACAAACGAGCACACAGTCCACCTAATGGTAAGTGGTTGCTGCGGCCCATAGACATCTACATCTATCTTCCATTACAAATCAAAATGCAGATGCGTTGTCACCCGTGAGGACTGAGATGGAATGCCTCATTTCCAGTAAAAAGGGTCTCCGGTTCTCTACACTCACCATACAAAATACAGCAGCATTAAGCTACTATTTCACGCTGGTATTCTGTGAGAGCGTGGTCCTTCCCCGGTCGAGCCGACCCATTCGTGCTACAACTATACTACTAATATAATTGCAGCATGGCTCTACCACGTATATTCTCTAACATTGGGGACTACTAATTTCTCTAACATTGGGGAAAAACTTCTTAAAATTGCTGGCGTTCAAATAACCGTTGAGAATACTTCATTACAGCCTATTATAGTCTACTGCTGAACATAGGCCTCCCCCATAGAATGTCATATAGAGGGGATTTTACCATAATTGCCACGCTTGGCAAACCGTTTGGTAAACCCATTATTTTTTATTTCGAATTGTTATCAGGAAGATGATGCTGTCCATCTCCAGTTTCAGTTTCCCTCCGCTGCCTCTTATGACACCCACGGGTCGATATAGGGTAGTGAATATTCTTACACTACCACTATACGATAGTTGAGAATACTAATTTGAACAAGGTTGAGACATTGAGAAGTAGGTACAAAATTAAAATTATTCGGCGGCCGATGGAACATAACGCTACTAGTTCACCTTGCACTTATTCGACCACAATTATTCGGCTGACTTCAAAAAAAAAAAAAAAGCCGGAGTTTTTCAATTAGACTGTACTTATTTTATGTATGTTACCTCAGAACTTTTTTCTATATAAATTTGATCAAGACATGTCCAGTAGTTTTTTGAATTATCCTTAATAATGCGTATTTAATTGACTTAGACATTGATGATGTTCTCATTTTATTTATATTGAAGTCGGTTGTAGAAATTTTTAAATTTTACCACTTCTTTTACTATCTCATTTTGAATAAAGTGTATATAAGTAATTAGAGCAACGTCTAAGGTGCGAGACATCTGATACTTTACTCGCTAATCCTCTTCATCAAACGTGGGAATTATGGCAAAGCTTCCCAATATTGGGAGCAGCTTATGTCCGAGTGGATGTTATGGGCTGAGAAAATTATTTTATTATATATGAAATACATTACTAATGTCTGATGACACGATAAGTTTCGCCGCCGCCGTAGGTAATATTTTATTTTTATAGAAGAGGGGGCAAACGAGCATGCGGCTTACCTGATGTTAAGTGACTACCGCCGCCCATGATCAACCGCAACACCAGGGGGATTGCAGGTGCGTTGCCGGCCCTTTAGAAAGGAGTAAGCTCTTTCTTGAAGGTCCCAAGGTCGTATCGGTTCGGAAAAAATCGCCGGTGGTAAACTATTCCACAGAGAGGTTGTACGCGGAAGAAAACTCCTTTTGAAACGTACTGTGGTGGACCGCCAAGCATCCAGATGGTGTGGATGGTATCGGGACGTTTGCCGCGTAGTGCGTTCATGAAATTTGGCGGCTGGGATTAATCCGAACAATTCCTCAGAGCACTCTCCATGGTATATGCGAAATAAAATGCAAAGAGATGCAACATCTCTTCGCAGTGCCAGTGAATCGAGCCGATCGGAAAGCACTTGGTCGTCGACGATTCGAGCCGCTCTGCGCTGGATGCAGTCAAGTGGAAGGAGCTGGTACTGGGGAGCCCCAGCCCAGAGATGGGAACAGTATTCCATGTGCGGCCGAACCTGCGCCTTGTAAAGTCGCAGGCGGTGTGCCGGTATGAAATACTGTCCCGCTCTGCTGAGCACGCCAAGCTTTTTAGAGGCCAATTTGGCCTTCTCTTCCAAGTGACCACGAAACTGCACGTCACTCGATATGTCAACGTTCCGATACTGGCTGAGGCAATAAGGGGAGTGCCTTTAAACTGAGGAGATACGACAAAGGGGTTCTTTTTAGCGTTTAACGCGCAAACTTGTGTCTTCTGGGTGTTAAACTGGACTAGATTTAGTCGCCCCCAATCCGAGACTCTGTTCAGCAAAGACTCGACTTCAGACAAAAGTTTGTCCCGGCACTCGGAGACGTTTTCCCGAGAAATATTGGCTCGGCCGGTGTAAAGAGCATCACCAGTGCTGTCATCTGCATAGCAATGAATGTTACGGGTTTGCAACATATCATTGATATGCAGAATAAACAGCGTTGGCGATAGCACGCAGCCTTGTGGAACACCAGCATTAATAGGCTTGCAATCGGAGCTTGCACCGTCTACAAAGACCTTGATGCTCTGATCTGCAAGAAAGCTGGTGATCCAATCGCACAATTTCTCGGAAAGCCCATATGAAGGGAGCTTCGAAAGAAGCGCTTTGTGCCAAACCCGATCGAAGGTCTTCGCAATGTCCAAACTAACGGCCAATGCCTCCCCCCTTGGACTCTACTGCCTCCGCCCATCTATGAGTAAGGTAGACCAGAAGATCACCAGCTGACCGGCCACGGCGAAAACCGTATTCGCCGTTATAATTAATACTATAAATAATATTCACGTCTTTAGCTGTATCTACTCGTACGGTTGTAGATAATGGTCCGGGTAAAAATACTATGCCCTACTTGACAAGTGCCAGTATTATGGCTGCAGAACCAAAAGGGTTGGCTTGACCGGGATGAGGCCATGCTCGCTTAGAATATCAGCATGAAATAGCGGTTGCGTGTTTGTTTCATACAATAAGTGATGAGAACCGGAGACCCTTTTTACTAATGACTAGGAATTTTATCTTAGCTCTTAGGGATAACAACCAGCGTTTTAATGTATAATTGAGGTTAGATGTATTCTTTGGGTCACATCGTTCACTTACGATCAGATTAGTTCAGACTTAGTTCTCCTTTGTTACTCTTACTTCTAAAAAAAGTTGTCACAATTCTTTTTACAATTTTCATGTTTTATATTTGTTTACAGTTGATCGTGGGTTCTTGTGATGGACGCATTTCTGTTTACGAGGCGCAGCGGGGAGCTTTACTGCGTAGTCTGGAGCCTCAGCTGCCGCCTGACCGAAGAGACTTTATGGCCGCAGTCCCTAGCCCTTCCGGACAAGTACTTCATCAGATACTTTTCAATTCGTGCAATGCTAGATCAGTTCGATCTAGCATTGCATGAATTGAAAAGTATCTTAAATATTTTAAATTTTATATATAATGTTTTGAGTCATATACAATGTGTTATTAAGATCCTAGTAAAGAGTTCTTTGTTTATATATTCATTTTCAAGCGTAAAGTATATATTAACATTAAACTCTCCACCTTAGTATGAATAACAAAATTAAATAAGTTCTAAGTAAGTTTTCCTATACATTTTTATCTGCTTTACGTAATTGTATGAATATCCATTAATGCAAATCCTTCCGTGGATGTCGTTAGAGGTGACAGAGAGAATCTGACACATGTAGTGTTGCCCAAAATCGGTCTTGGTCTTGCAGTCTTGGTCTTGTTCTTGCATTTTTGCAAGACCAAGACCAAGAACAAGACCGCCTAATTTTAGCAAGACCAAGACCAAGACTGACCGTGCAAGATTTGAGCAAGAACAAGACTAAGCCTGCGAGACTCTTGCGTCTTGCAGTTAGGAATGAGTGTCGTTTCAGGGATATAGGAGTTCAGGTACACGCTTTGGGACTCTATGAGTCGTAAAAATATATAAAAAAATTTTGAAAATTGTACTTATGCCCATTACGAACAATACCATAAACATGCATAGCGGATGAAAATATCCATTAAAAGAAAAAACAGTGCATCCCTAGTTTTGATCATCGGCACTTTGATAGTGCGCGGCGTCTTGTTGTCGGCATCATCAAAGGTCGAATACTGACCTGTCAAAGAAATTTTGCAGCTATTCGGAAGTACAAGGTCAAGATACACGCGCCGGCGGCTTCTATTGATATCGCATTCAATCGTCGCCGCCGCGCGGCACGCGCTACATTTGACACTGTTTGAATTCCGCCACAGAGTACATGTTCCAAATAATAAAATAAGTTTCCAGGTGCTCAGAATGGACACGAATACATTATGCTGATCTCGCAAGGAATATTGTAATTAGATAATGGATAGGTAGATACCATAATAATTTATTTTAGTAAGTAATTATTATAATATTAACTATATGGGTTTATAATAATTACTTACTATTATTATTATTACCTACTAGATAAACATGTTCAATAAGTTCACTGCAAATCTCGATTATTGGAAGTGTGTGTTTTTGAACATAAAGTGTTCGAATATGTCGTCACCCATTTGATAAATATTGTAGACACTTTTAAAACACTTGAAACGTGTAAACATTTTGTACAATGCTAATCGAATAATATAAAAAGTGTGCATATTAAATAAAAAGGGTAAAATAAGATCTATGTACTGTTCAGGAGCCCGAGTATCTCTTAGAGAACCATTTAAAGAAATTGATTTCATCGAATTGATGTAAGTAATAGTGATTTGCACAATTTTAATACTAGAAAATAGAAATAAAAATAAAATCACAATACCTGCTTTCCGGTTACACAAGGTATATAATGCGTTCTTGGGTAGATCTTTCACCTTTTCAGTTTAAGTCAGACAAAATTGCTTGGAACTGACCTCTCGTACTACACAGGACTAACTAGAAATTTCTAAACCGATTTGGTATCTACATATACATTTGACATTTTATGTTTGACTTATCGCTTTACATAATTATAGAACTATTGTAAAAATATTTTGAAAAGAGCAACTACTGAGTTTCTTACTTTCTTCCATAATTCTTCTCAGTAGAATCAGAACCCCTGGACATGGAAAAGAAAAAATTGGGGAAAACAGTGATTGTATGACTATTCAAAAGTGTATTTTTAATGCCTACTTGAATAAAACATATTTGAATTTTGAATTTCAAACGAACGAAGAACATAATATACACAATTTTATTTACATATTTACATTTCATTTTTACGTAGGCACACTATACCTATCTGGCAACGCATCTACTTTATTAATCTTCTGAAGAATCATTAATTTTATCAAAGGATGCCGAACTTTCCTTTGTCGGTATTTCGGCGTGTACATAAAATAGTAGTATTTATTTTAATTCCAGTCATTCCCAATTGAGCCTTGCTTCGAGTCTAATGTATTAATTGTTTTTACTCTAATCCTTGTTGTTCTCGGAGTGATAAGTTTACAATTTGACATGAGTGACGAAGAGTCGAATAGTTCTAGTCGGAGTAGTGAGAGTTGGAGTTATAGATCTAAAAGACCTAAAAGGAAATTTGATGAGTTTTTCGACATAATTCGTGCATCCCAAATTGCTTTGTGTAAATTATGCCAACATAAAAAGGTTAAAATAAAAATGAAAAACAGAAACACTTCAGGCTTAAGGAAGCATCTAATATCTTTCCACAAAAAGGAATCACAAATATATCTCCCTGAAAAACCAAAATTAAGTGTAGGTATTACAAGCTTTTTAATAACCATCGGAAAAAGTGGGCAGGTAAGAAAAAATATACTTATCACACAATTATATAACACATATATTGTGTAAGTAGCGGCCGCCTGCGACTTCGTCCGCGTACAATATCTGATTTCCTATGAGATTTTGAAATTTTCTCGCTGCAAAAGTCTTACCTAAGTATAAAGAGGCTATATATGTAAAGCTTAACTATGCAAGTATTTTTATTTAAAACTAATAAAGTAAATGTCGATCTTCATATCTATACTTTAAAAATATAGGACTTGCATGTAACCATTTTACCCCAATTTCACCCCCTTAAGGTTAGGATTTCGTAAAACAGCTTATTCAGGATTTTATTATTGAAAACTTATAACTTTAATGCCGATTTTCGTGTCTCTAACTTCAAAAACGTAGGACTTTCATACAAACTTCCAACCCCTATTTAGGGATAGACCCCCTTAGGGATAGATTTTCTCAAAACCGTTTCTTAACTGATCTCTATGCCATAAAAGGAACCTACCTTACAAACTTCAAGTTCGTATGTTTTATAGTTCCTGAGATATCGTTATAGTCAGTCAGTGAGTTTTTTATTTATAGGATAGGGTGACAAACGAGCACACAGTCCACCTGATGGTAAGTGGTTGCTGTGGCCCATAGACATCTACATCTATCCTCGATTACGAATCAAAATGCAGATGCGTTGTCACCCGTGAGGACTAAGATGGAATGCCTCGTTTCCAGTAAAAATGGTCTCCGGTTCTCTACACTCACCATACGAAATACAGCAGCATTAAGCTACTATTTCACGCTGGTATTCTGTGAGAGCGTGGTCCTTCCCCGGTCGAGCCGACCCATTCGTGCTACAACTATACTACTAATATAACTGCAGCATGGCTCTACCACGTATAGGTATAAGGAGTGGTAGTTATATATATATATATATATATATATATATAGATTATAGTGTTAAATATGTATTTATAATTCACTCATATTTTCATTTGTTTTTATAATCGGCGAGACACATGATTTACTGTTTTATTTCAGTCTGAAAATAGCAGTGACAACATCACGACAGCTACAGTTGATTGGATGGTTAAAAAATATCTTCCCTTCTCATTTTTCGATGACGAAGCTACACAAGTATATTTTCGATCAATTTGCCCAAATATGGTGTTTCCTAAAAAGTCCACACTTAGAAGGAAGGTCAAAGAACGGTTTCAAGAGCTTCAATTGAATCTTAAGAAACGACTACAACATTTTTCATCTAAAATGTCATTTACCATTGATGGATGGACGTCAATTGCTGGTAGGAGTTACTACGGGGTCACTATTCATTATATAGATAACGAATGGAAGTATCGATCTTTACCATCACGCGGTCGACATACTGGGGAAGATATTGCAACGATTTTCCACGAGTGTTTATTGAAATATGACATAATTGATAAACAGGGTATCACGGTCGACAACGCAACTGCAAAAACCAAATTTATGTATGAATTGGACAAACAGCTGCCACAATTTGATTCAGACAATCAACATTTCCGGTGCTTTGCTCACATTTTGAACCTTGGTGTACAAGATTTATTAAAGACCTTAGCATTATACAGTGAAACTGACAATAAGGGACAAGAACAGCAGTATGAAGATAATGAAGACGAAACTGAGGAAGATGAAGAATATGCGCCAAATATTGCTGACTCACGTACAGCTATAACAAAATTACGCAGTATTTCCAGTAAAAATAAAAGGAAGTGAGGTATTGAAGAGGAAGTTTCAGTCTGCTTGTGAAGCAGCTGGCGTGTCATCAAATCTGAAACCCATACTCGACTGTCCAACGAGATGGAATTCCACACATGATATGATTGGATTTGGTTTAAAAGTGAGAACTGGCATTAACATATTGTGCACTTCTGTCACCTAATTGAATGATTTTCAAATCACAGATAGTGAATGGTAAATACTCGAAAAAATACAAAAGTTTCTAATAAACTTTAAACTTCTATTAACGAAACTTGGTGGAGAAAAATATGTTATATTACCGCTAGTCATTGTATCATTCAATCTCTTGCTCGATAAAATTGAATCCATGGTAAAACAATTAGATGAGAAACCTAATCGATCCGAAGTGGATAAAGACTCATTCTGGGTTTTCAAGCAGCTCGAGACAAAATGCTTAAATGTTATAAAAAGAGCAACTGGATTTATTATACCTCTTTAATTTTGGACCCAAGGCATAAGACTCAGACTTTTGAAATGACATTATGGGTGAAGCAAATTAAAACAGAAAGCCTGCGCAAATTTAATGAACTTTATAAAGAATATAAAAGTCTACACTCAGTGAATACATCTCTAGAATCGCCAAGAAATGAAAAGAAAGTATGTGAATATGATGAAGATGAAGACGTAATAGACTTTGAGAAATTGTATGCATGTCCCTCGACGTCATCTGGATCTGGATCTTTTCATCAATGCTTAGTTATAGACGAGTTGGAGGAGTACCTAAGTAAACCCCTCGCCGCCAGTTCGGAAGACATTTTAGAGTGGTGGAGGACGCATGAGACAGAATATCTGACTTTATCGAAGATGGCCCGTGATTTTCTTTCAATACCTGCAACTTCAGTACCTGCTGAGAGGTAATTAGAAAACATAGAAATAGGTTAAGTGATGAGTCAGCCAGATGGTTACTTTGTATTAATTCTTGGTCAAAAGAATTAATATAAAGTAACAGTAATGTCAAAGCTGTTGTGTACTGTTATGTAATTTAATTTGTATTGTATTTTTTATTTAAATAAATGGTAAATTGTATAACTCTTTTATTCCATTTCATATAAGGGTCTATCAATCTCTTTCTAGATAGATAAGAAACATTAACTACCGTGGCCGTGAGACTTGGTAGACAGCTCAGTTGGTTAGAGCATCGGCACGGATCGCTTAGGTCGTGGGTTCAAACCCCACCCGGTATTAGTTGATTTTTCGAATTTCTCGTTAAATGTTTAGACTTGGTCTTTCTATGGCTATGTTAATTCAAGCTCAAAATGTGCCTACTCTGTTAAGTTGTTCTAAGATCTAAAGTAACGTTTAATGAATAACAATAGGCTAATAGGTAATTGCGAGACTATCGAGACTCTTGCTGCAAGACCAAGACCAAGAACAAGACTGAGAGCGCAATACCAAGACCAAGAACAAGACCAGGTGTATTGGCGCAAGACCAAGACCAAGACTGGCTAAGTCTCGTCTTGTTCTTGCATTTGGGCAACACTAGACACTGAAGATGGGCGACAGCATCTTCCTGATAACAAATTAATTGAAACTGCGGCTGCTCCTGCAATATGGCAAAATCCTAATCCTAATTAAACAATATTTGCAGAGACCTATGTCCAACAATGGACTTTTTAGGCTGTTATGAATAAATTTATGAGTGATTAAATCTACTTATGAAATTTCAGTTAGTAATTAACAAAATCTTGCAATGCATTTGTTAATTATCTTTATATATAAAAATTACGTGTCACGTTGTTTGTTCGCGATGAACTCTTTAAAGTACTGAACTGATTTCAATGAAATTTTGCACACTGTGTGCAGTTTGGTTCAACTTGAGAGGATAGTTTTTATCCCGATAAGTGACTTTCAATGTTTTTTATTGCGAATTTAAAAATTTGTTATAGGAAGGGTCGTCGAAAAGGGCAGAACAACATCTGCCTGATCAGCTAGTATGTTATAAAATCGTATCACGCTTTTAACTTACTTATTGTTGTTTGAAATTCAGACTGTTGCTTTCGGCTTTTTCGACGGCTGTTTAGTGGGCGAAGTAAAGGATACCGGCAACATAGAGCTGACTCCACACAACATTCCCAACTTTTACGCAACGAGAGCACTTGCCTGGAGCGGCGACGGCACTAAGTTAGCGCTTGCCTCACAGACCGGCGCTGTTATACAGCTTGAAGCTGTGCTTCGGTGGGTTTTCTATTTATATATTTTAATTTTATATTCTTTAGAATATTTTCATAAGATTATTTAAAAGCATCAGTACCAGTTACTTTATTTCTTTATAAGTTGATATGAAACATAAATTACTAGTAATAAAAACGGTCCTAACCTAAGTCACCTACATCCATCGACTTGTACGTAGGTCGTCATCTAGTGTGGTTGTACGTTACGCATCAATGTACAATCGAGTGGTGGTTCAAGGTTCAAAATAAAATTATTAGAACGTAAATCCTCTCTTAGCAGGTCGTCACTTCATCTAGTGGTTGACGACTTAGTAGGTGGCTCAGAAGCGTGGTTTGTGGCATTGACTTCGGGGAGGCCTATTTTCAGCAGTGGACTTGTGAAGGGCTGTAATGATAATGATAAAGATGAAATTTTGAGTTGGAAGCTGGGGCTTAACGTCGTTTGTAATCGCAAGCGACGAGATTGCTTTTTCTTCATAGCTTGTCGTGTTTATTTAATGGAAATATTTAACAAGTATTTTTAATTATTTATTAAAAGCTAACATCTCGCTCCGGCTACGCCTGGATGGGATACATTAAGGTGGCGTTATTTAGATTTAATACCTAAAGGACTTGTGGAAGAATTTGTAGCCTCCAACAGAGGTCTGTATAGCAATTTTGTTTACCACAGATACGAAATCTCAGACGATCGAAGGGAAACAGGGTAAAGAAGGTGAGTTACAACCACAAAAATTTACTATTTCTGTGGTCATAACGATTTCTGTGGTTATGACAAATAATGTGTAAGTCAAATTCCCCTGCCAAGCGCGTGTCTACGGCATATTCTTTCGACTATGTTACCATGCTAAGTGGCTAGTTATGGCCTGCTCGCTAGGCACACGATAATATTATATTGCGGAACCTAGACTTAACGTGGTAGAGTCATGCTGTAGCTATATTAATTGTATAGTTGTAGTACGAATGGGTCGGGTCGACCGGGGAAGAACCACGCTCTAACAGAATATCACAGCAAAATAGCAGTTAAATACTGTTGTGTTTCGTATGGTGAACGTAGAGAGATCGGAGATCCTTGTTACTGGGAAAAAAGTCATTCTATCTAGGTCCACACGGTTGATAACGCATCCGCATTTTGATTCGTAGTCGAGGATAGATGTAGATGTCTATGGGCCACAGCAACCACTTGCCGTGGACTGTGTGCTCGCTTGTCACCCTTATCCTGTATAAAAAAGAAGTAAAGTATCAAGATTTTTTTAATGGGTCTATCGTAAAATCCCTTCTTAGTGAGCGTCTGAATTGTGAAAAAGGAAAACTAAAATCCGAAATATAGAAGACTGCAATCTCAGTCGGTTTATAAATATATTTATCTTTTCAAATTTTATCATCATCATTACAGCCCTTCACAAGTCCACAGCTGAACATAGGCCTTCCCCAAGGAATGCCACAAAGCACGGTCCTGAGCCACCTGCATCCATCGACTTCCTGCATGTCTTACCAGATCGTCACTCCATCTAGTGGAGGGTCGCCCTACACTTCGCCACCCTCTTTTTTCCCGAACGGTTGTCGGTTCTTCGAGCTATATGGCCGGCCCATTGCCACTTCAGCTTACTAATCCGTTGGGCTATGTCGGTCACTCTGGTTCTACTGCGGATATCCTCATTTTTAAGTTTATCACGCAGAGAAACGCCGAGCATAGCCCTCTCCATAGCTCGCTGAGCGACTTTGAGCGTCCTCATACAGCCAGCAGTGAAGGCTTTTCAAATTTGCTGTTCCTTAAATACTGCCGCTAAAGTCCTCGTAAACATAGACCTAGAAATTTGTCGTCTTGGCTTAAGTGGTTTAGAAGAACATCTTTAAATTATATGTATCATTTGTTATGGGTGCGGTTGCAGACGTTGGATATGGCGCGATACTGTAGAAGTTCAACACGTGAGTCCCCGCCAGCTCGTGCTGACCAGGCTCGCTAATGACGCGCCGCCGGTGACGGTCACGTCCAAGCAAGCGCCCGATATATTCAATGTTCGTTTTATTGGTAAGTATCCTTGTAGATACTGTAATTTTAGTTATGCTCAATGTGAGTACGTATTAAATCACGCTCGTAAATTTGTCCGTTTATACGAGCGTGATTTCATTAGGCAGAGTCCAAAGAGTGCAAGCCACTAGAACCATGTTTAAAAAAAAGGTATCAACGGAAAATTATGAAAGAAATTATAGGCGGCTAGCCAGGAATGCCAAATCAGAAGACCAAAATATCTCGGCAAAATTTGAAAATGTCTGGATTTTGGGGTTGTTGTCGGGAGTAATAAATATCTAAAATAAAAATGTGAATTAAGAATTTAATATTTAAATTAATTTGTTAAAAAGACTTAACTAAAACTTAAATTGAATAAAACTAAATTTACGGATTTTATCGCGTTTATTTAACTGATTTTACTTATTTTTAATTCCCGACGCTTTACAGGACCCATGGTCACGGGGGGGGGGGGGACTGAGATGTTTGACGTCCCAATGTCATAGTTAGCCCGGCTACCTTCAGTTTTTTAATATTAATTTTTCGGTCCGATTTACGCAAAACGAGCTTACAGTATCTTGAAGTCTTGCAGTGTTATGCTTGAGTTTGGGTTTAATTTTGTTAATTATAGGATCCCAAGCAGATGGTAGCACCTATCCATCTTCTTTATTGAAATTAGGATGTTTTTTAATTTCAATAGCCTCACGTATCATCCTTGGTAGGAATCTGTGTTCTTTTGTGAAGACTTGTGGTTTATCAAATCTAATGTAATGGTGGGGACAATCTTGAATATGTTCACAGATTGCAGACTACCCGGAGCGTCGGTGCTTCACGTCAGCTATATGTTCTTTCACGCGGGTTTTTATCGATCTTTTTGTTTGACCTATATAAGAGAGACCACATTCACAATCTAACTAGTACACTCCTGTATCTTGTAGAGGGATATTACACTTGACGAATGGTAAAAATTGACTAATCTTCTTCGGCGGCTTGTAGTATGTTTTAATGGAAGCTCGCTTCAAGATGCAGCCAACCTTGTCTGTGACTCCTCTGACATATGGTAGTACAGCAAGTACACAATCGACTGTGGCCGGCTTCACTCGGTCACTGTGACGTAGGCGCGGGACCCGAAGCTTGTTGTCTTGCAATACTTGCTTGACGTGCTGAAGCTCGGCGGCCAGATGTTTTCTGTCACAGATCCCTCGTGCTCTCTGAAACAAAGATTTAGCCACGGTTACTAACTGTGAAGGATAATGCTGAGATTCACCATTTAAATATCAGTTTGTATGGGTCTTTTTCCTATACACAGTGTGACCAATAGTGTTATTAAGATTTCGAATGACTAAACATCTAGGAAAGCTAAAGAATTATTTGCCTCTAACTCCATTGAGTTTATAGAGTTAAGGTGGTTTAAATATGCAGTTACTTTGACAGATTGTAAAATTGTGAAAGTGTCGTCTACGTACCGCTTGTAGAATCTTGGATTTACAGGAGCAGTAAGAAGGGCTTTCTCCTCGAAGTCCTTCATGAATATGTCGGCGACTATGGGAGATACAGGTGAGCCCATCGCCACACCATCTACTTGCTTGTAGAACTCTTACTTCCACAATAGATAGCAAGATGTGAGGCAGTGTTTGAGTAATACTGCATATTCAGCAGGCATGTTATTATCTTCTAGCTTCCTAGTCTCAATTGAGATGCAGTCTTCAATAGGTAAATAGTGACTGAACATCAAAACTGACTATAGTTTCATTGTCAGCGAGATGTAGGTATTTTATCTCACTAACAAAATGGTATGAATCCTTTGTGTATGCTCTGGTATGTCCTCTCAATGGTGACAGTATTTTTGCCAAGTGTTGTGCCAGCTTATAAGTTGGTGAATCGATCTGGCTCACTATAGGACGTAGTGGAGCGTTTGGTTTGTGTATCTTCGGTAACCCATACAACCTCGGTGGTTTGGTATTAGCGAATTCAGGTCGAGATTTAATTTTCGGAGTATTTCTTTATTAAATCGCCAGTTGCTTTAAGCGTGTTAGTTGTGGGGTCTGTTTTGACCTTTTTGTATGTACTTTCGTCCGATAAAAGCTGTAGTATTTTAAAATTATACTCTGACGTGTCCATTATTACCGTAGCATTTCCTTTATCTGCGCGGAGAATCGTTAGCTCTGGTCTGTTCCGTAAGTTAATCAACGCTGTAAATTCGTCTTTAGGAAGGTTTGGTTTCGGCACTGCACTACGACGTAACAAGGACGAAATATCTTGACGTATAGCATCCAAATCTTCCTTACCGATATTATTCTTAAACAGACAATCCTCAACGCTGCAGATAATTTCTTCGTACAGGATTTTTCGCGGTGTTATTGCGAAGTTCATTCCTTTCGCTAATTTCGTCTTTATTGTCGGTTCGTCCAGTGTATGTTTTGACAGATTGTAGAGTGTAGACCGTGCGTTGTTTATTGTTTGCGTCTATGGTTAACGGTTGTGTTTCGTGCTGACGTTGACTTAGATGGCATTTGATTTGATCGTTAATTTTTGGTATTTTTCTATTTGTTTATTTTTGCATTCATTGTATTTCGATGTTTCTCGTTTGTTTAAAGTTTCGATGCAATTATTAAAATCAAATGTCGTTAAAACTGTCTTTAGTTCACTGGACAAATTGGCTATGGTGCTGTTTATGAAATGTAGATCGAACCGTTTCTGCTAAATCACCGTTCGTAACAACTTTTTACTTGCCTGATTTAAGATCTTAGCGCTTCCTCGAATGTCCTTTTTTGTTGATATTTTGACACACGTCGGAATGAAATTATGGTCTCTGCATCTCTTCAAGAAATTTAAAGATGTTATATATCTTGCGCGCTTGGTTTTAAGATCTTCTAATCATCAATACATTTAGTATGTTTTTTTATATTTGACATAGATACCTTTTAAAATATTGAGATAAAAATATCATTAAAATGTAATTGTGATATAATATTATGTAATATCATATTAAATAAGCAAATATAATATATAAAATAAATGACAAAATTTAAATATTGTTCTCGATTTATTTACCTACGGGTCATTCTACCTGTTTGTTCTATGATAAAAAAAACTACCGCGCGAACACAGAGTAACGCATATTTTTTGTTTGAGATAGCCTGTTCTAGTACGTAAGTATATTACTTCAATGCGTTATTTTTAATTCCCGACGTTTCGGTTTCGGATGCTTTACAGCACCCATGGTCACCCCACGACCATGGGTGCTGTAACGTTAAAACTTCGGGAATTAAAAATAAGTTAGTTAAACACGATAAAATCCGTATAAGTGGTTTTATTCTATTTTTAAATTAAATTTTAGTAGTATTAGTGTGAAATGCGAAGTGTTTTCAGCTCTTTTTATTTTTACGTGAAATTTCTTTTTCAGGCAATGATTGGTATGCAGTGTGTCGTACTAGCTCCACTTTGATTCTCTGCGATATAGCGCGCGGGTTAACAAGTGAGGTATGAATGTTTCTACTTTTTCTCTGTCAACGTTGGTAGAAATGTTGACAGAGAAATTATAATGCATTACGTTGATCATTAGCAACACTCACTTTTTTAAATTACAGTCAAATTATGTATAAAGTTTTATTTTGTGTGAAAATGATAAACTGATAAAATATAATGGTCTTGATTGTCTTAAATCTAACATTACCTACATAGATTCCGTGGTCGGGCGGAGGCGAGCGTATCTATGCAGCAGTAGGGGGCGCGTGCCTCATACATCGCGCTGGTGAACTTAGCGTGGTTGAATACGGACTAGACAAAGTGCTACACACCGTGAGTTTGCTATTGCAATATTGTTTTTAAGAATGGCTGTGATTTTTATGGCGTATATTAAATAAATTATGTAAAACTTCAGAAACATCTTAGAAGAAACAATAAAATTGGTTGGGGATACAGCTGTAATAATTTTTATAGCTAATAATTCGTGTTCTGAAAACTTTTTTAATATTGGATAAAACTTCGCCTTTGGTGTTATTGTAGTGTATTGATATTAAAATGATTCTGTTATATTATCAATTTTATCAAATTCTAAGCTTATTATTGTAACAATAAATTTTTGTATATATGAATACTTTCTTGTAGTGCTCCATGACGAAGAAAGTACAAATATTTAATTTCAGGTGCGAACAGAACGCGTAAATCCACACGTACTGAGCGTACGTGTTAATGAAGGACCAACGGATTCTGTTGAGCGCAAGCACCTTGCTTACTTACTTGACAAGCAGACTGTCGCCGTGCTTGACCTCGTCTCAGGTGTCTGCAGTTATTTTATATATTTTATTAGATTTTATTTGAAGAACCAATGTTTGTAAGTTTTTAATTTTTCAACTAACGTGGTTATTGTCTTAACACTTTCACTGTCCGTTACTCAGACACAATAATAAGACAAAGGATTAAGGCAGTTATTATTGTGAGCAACAGTATTTTAATTTAGTTATTTTTAATGCCGCCGTGTTGTAGTGGCCTAACTGAAAAATCACCCCATCTGATCCCGTAGATTATCGTAAGAGAAGACGCAGATTTTGAAGCATTTGCTACCGGTTATTTCTATCTTGCTTTATACTAAGTAAAATTTCGAATATACTATACGAATTTCCCGGTTCGGCGATGTGGGGTATAGTCATAGGTGAGAGACATCTGGCACTACGATCGAGAATGCACCTGCTAACCGTGGCAATCATGGTATATTATCCTTCTGAGTCATTGACTTATATTACTAGCGTAAGGACCGGGCCCACCGTACAGACCAGTGCGCTGGCCCTAAAATTACAGTTTAGGGCCAACGCGAATCGGTCGACAGTGGTGCGCGCGCAGGACAGATTTGCCTGTCATAAATATCTCTAGTGGCGTGGTAAAAGAATGCAAAAATTACGATACAAAGATTTAAAAAAAAACATGGGATATCGTATCATCGGTAAATAACCTTATATTAATTTTGTTACAATTAAATTATTAAATAAACGCATTTTTAAAGTTTTATTTTATAGTTCGTTTAGTTCCGTTACCAAGATTATGCCAGGGTTGGATTCAGACCCTCAAAAATATTGTACATGGTAAATAAAATTATACTATTTAAAAAAATATATCACGTTTGATGTTTCATGTTTCTTTTTCCCCATGTGCCGGGATTTTAGCGTCACGCGTCTAGTTTATCTATACGTTCCGTTTTTTGACGGTTTTATTTTTATTTCTGTTTAATTTTTGTCTAAAGAACTTAGTGTAAGTAAAATTTTGAATATTGGTACCTAATATATTTTATATTCAATAAGGTTAAAACAAAAAGAGTACAAAACAAACCATATCTGCTTAATTGAATCTGAAAATCTGATTCATATAATACTTTGAAATTCTGTTTTCAAACCGATTTCTTCTGGAGCATAGAATTTTTATCGTGGTACCTCCTAATTATAGTTGTATCAAGGATGCAACATAAATGCATCGATCGAGCATCGATTGACCAGAAAGGGAGCTAATTCCAATTTTCTTAAAAAAAAAAACGCGATACTCATGTATAATACAGAAATTCTCGATATCGTAGGATTAATATTAAAATGTAAAAGGACCTAATAATAAGACAAGTCCATCTTTAGGTACAATTATGGTATTTTCGCTTAGTATTATTACAATACTATGTACTACAAAAATAATGAAATGATGGTACAATACAATTAGGATAATTATACTACAAAATCCAACCCTGGTTACGTCGTGTTTTGATATGACGTGTGTATTATGACAGATGCGCTACTTTTTCTTGTATGAAAAAGTAATTAGTAAAATATTTAGTTGGGCCTATCCTTCCTTTTGAAATCATTGTTCTGAGTATGGGGGAGGCCATGTGCAGCGTCCTTGTGGACTGTTACAGGCTTTTGATAATTATAGAAAAATAATAAACATACTTTAATATATCTAGTGGTATATTTTAAATACAAAGGCATTCAGTTGGGTCAGTGGTGGCACGATACACGTATCGACTGGCTCGAACTTAACGAGAGTGGACATCTGCTGCTGTTTCGAGACACTCGGCGTACTCTCAATTTGTTACGTCTTGACAGCGGTGAAAAGGTAAAATATCCTCTACTTTACTTTTGCATGATTTTTTTCCTTTTCTTTTCTTACATAAACGTTGCACCCATACTAGGATTTCTCTTATCTCGCGGAGGTGTTTTAAACAAATTGCTTTGATTGATTATACATGAACAAATATCCAGACCTGGAACAAAAATGGTTTGTAATAATAATGTCCTCCAGACAGAATTTCGGTCACGGCGGCCTACCTCAACGGAGGATAGCCATCGGCACAGGATAGGATTATAGTGCCCAAGTGTATACGCAAGCACAGGTGCACTCTCTATTCCCTCACTCTCATAATCCGATGGAACGATAAACCGACACGACCGGAGAGAGATCAGGCGCAGGACCAACTGCTTGACGTGCTTTCCGAGGCACGGGGGTGAGACACCGACAACTTCCTGACTCCGGGCAGTTACTGAGAATTTCTTGACGGAAAAACTCAATAATTAATTTTTTGGCCCGACCCGGGATTCGAACCCAGGACCTCATCATCAACAGTCGCACTACTACAACCACTAGACCAACGAGGTAGTCAAAAAATGGTTTGTAGTCCTCTATAAACCAAACGTTACGTTACGTTACGCACGCTACTCTTCAGCTTGCTTTAAGCCCTCGGTTTAAATATTTTGTAAAGGTCATTTTCAGGAACGTGTCTGACAGTTACATTCATTACCATATAATAATCTGAATGTTGACAGGCCTGTTGGTCTAGTGGTTAGTGACCCTGACTGCTATGCCGGAGGTCGTGGAGTTCGATTCCCACCCAGGACAAATGTTTGTGTGATGAGCACGATCATTTGTTCTGTGTCTAGGTGTAATTTATCTATAATATTTATGTATTCAGAAATATATAAGTATGTTTACCAGTTGTCTAGTACCCATAACACAAGCTCCGCTTAGCTTGGGACTAGATGGCGTTGTGTGACTTAACACGTGTAATTCCTAAATTTCGACAACAGCGCCACCTACCGAGCCCAATCGTGAATCTAAACTATTCTCGAAGCAACTTAATCACACATACAAAGTTTCGTCAAAATCTTTCCAGCCTTTTAATAAGAGTTCAGTCACATACACACGGATAGAAGAATTATATAATATATAAAAATGTATAAAAATAATCTTATTACATACCGGAGCGAAGAAAGAATGGTTCTCTATTTTTATAGTGTATTTTGCAGGAGACTATTGCGCGAGGAGCAAGTTTCGTGCAATGGATTGAAAACAGTGATGCAGTTGTGGCACAGACGCAAACTCACTTGCTTATATGGTACAGTTGATTTTCTTTTTTATTATATTTTTTTTTGATTCTTGTAATCTTTTTTTTAACTTACAAGTATTATTCTTACTTTTATCGTACATCTTATATCGCTACACCATCAAGATCAATAAAAATAATAACTTGCGAACGTATGTAGTATGTACTAGCTTTAATTCTAGCGGCCAAGATTTCACCATCGCACATGATAAAATTCTCAAAATTGATATTTTGAGAATTCCAATTTTGAGAATTTTAAGAATCTTAATTTTGAGAATCTACACCATCCGAATGTGTGGCGGTTCAACACTGATTTTCTAGAAGTTTTAATTTTCGCAAGTACTACTTTGTGGAGTCTGCCACCATAAGCGATTCTTCGGATCGGATCGGAAAAGCCTACTCTTTTTTAAAAGGCCGGCACCGTATCTGCGATTCCTTTAGTGTTGCAGTATTAAAGAAGTGGAACAATTAACCTAGGTAGTGGGCAGCAGTACCCGCTAATGATATGTTAGAAATGAGTGTTAGCTTCTTTTTATCCATGGTTTTATTCTTACTACTTCAGTATAAAACCAGATTATGAGCCAACTTATTTTAGTGCTCAGAAATTACAACCTATCTGTTAGTCTTCTTTATATGGAGCTAACTACTCTGTGGGCTGTAGAAGTTACCATCACATGGATTGCTAGGTCCTGTGCCAATTTAATGCTAATAGAAAACGTCTAATGAACTGATTAAGCATAATATGATGATGCAAGCTGTTATCGACTAAAATTGTATGGAAATATGAATAGCCCCTCTTGGCTTTTCTTACTCGACGCAAATTTTAGATATCTGTTCGAATTCTCCAGGTACAGTGCATGGGAGCCGGGCAGTGTCGAAATTGTAGAGTGCGAAGGAGGCATCGCGGTGCAAGTGAGTGCTCGCCGCGTCATTTTAGAGGGTGGGCAGCTACCGTACGTGCAACTTGATGAACATCGCCTCGCATTCAGTATGTAATGTTTTTGTTTCTGTTTTGTTGATTACTTATCAGAAATATATATTGAACAATGAATTAAACATAAAAAAAACACCACTTGTACGTTACACTATTTATAATTCATTGGTCAAACCACATATTGAATACCTTATAGAAGTCTGGGGCACAGCAGCAAAAACCAATATAGAAACAATACAGGTAGCACAGAATAAACTGATTAAGGTACTATTTAATTACAACTTTCTTACTCCAACAGCCCAAGTTTCTAAGGACACTAAAATCATGAATATATCACTAACATATAAATATTATACTTGCATTTTAGTACGTGAAATACTAAATAAAAGCATTCACACAGAATTAAGTTTTACAAAACATAAACCTATAACAAAACTAAGACCAAGACTTTACAGAGAATTAAAACAACGTACAACATGTTCTTACTACGTTAAAAAATGTATTTTAAATGAAGGTGCCTTAATATATATATATGTCTATATGTATATGTGTGTATGTTTGTGTATGTATGTACATATATATGTGTACGTATGAACTAATAAAAAAGCAAATAAAACAAAACATTAAAAAAAGGACTTTTTAACAAATATACATATAAATACAGATATAGTTATTAAATTTCATTAGGTCATTTATTAATTATCATTAAGCTATTGCCCAAGTAATAATTGCGCTCAATCATGAATGCATAATATCACTTCCAGTCTCCATTGTTCAACGTAAATTCGATTAAGTGAAGCTTAAATTCGGTATATGAATAATTTTGCACTCTGCGATCGAACCAAATAAAGTAACCGTCATGAATGTTTATTTTTAATCTTTGTAGTCTTCTTTTATTATTTTACTATGTACTCATAACTTTTTAACATTATTTGTTTAGACTATAAAAAAATGGTGTATTTTTATTTTGTTATCAGTTTGTTTGTGTGTCGTGTCGTTTAATATAAAATTATGTTAGTGTACATTTCTCATGTAAGTGAATTTTAATTCTTTTGAGAAATAAATATCTTAAACCACAATTGCTGCGTAGTAATCGGGTGAGAACCACCCTCTTCCATCATGCGAGTGACATAAATGTTGTATGAAAATATTGTAGAAAATTTACTTTTCTGAGAATTATTGATAAGTGACGAAATATCTATCTCAAAACCACATTAAACATTAAAATATTGAAAAGAATTTACATATGTATGTATAAAGATCATCATCGTCTTCAACAGTCCGATAGAGCCCGCCGCTGGGCATGGTCATCTCCTGTTGCTATAGGATAGATTTTCTTATTAAATTTAGTGACAAGCGAACTTATGGTCCTCCTGATGGTAATATCTACTGTAGACTTGGACTCCTGTAAGCAACTTGGTTAAAAGGGCTACAGGCGCGTTGTGATCGCCAAGAATCAAGATGTAACGCCTCACAGCTTGTACTGGTTATCTGTACCTTTGAAACTGAAACAAAGCAATACGCACTGCTGCTTGGTAGAAGTAGGAAAGGGGGTGGTCTCTTCTCAGACGGACTCCTACGCAGAAAATATATCCTATTACCCAGTTTGTCTCAATCGCTACGCTTGGAAAATGAATTGACGATCGCAGTGCTTGTAGTCTCACACCTTAGATACTGAAGGGTGTGGCCCCATAGCCAATATACCTATAATCACATACTGAGATGCATTCCATCTTGGTCTTCTAAGGTGACAGGCCTTCTTTGTCTGCCGGTATCCATGGACTGCTATAGCCACTTATCATAAAGCTATTTTGTAACCTCATTTAAATACATAAAAAATAAATTTTTAGATAGTGCCCTACGTAGTGATGATCTGAGCACTTGCGCAAAATACCTGGACAGTGTCGCTGGCAGCGCGGACGTGACAGTTTTGTGGCGACAATTGGCAGAGACAGCACTGTCGAGTAACGATATTCAGGTATACCTATTTAATTAGAAAAGTTTTAAATGAAAACCGTTTCTTCAGGGCGAGGTAAATCCAACATTTTATATTATGCGTTGTGTAAGCTTCATCGGCGTTCATCTTACAAAGTTTTCTCGTAGGAGAGTATTAAAATTAGTTCAAGCATCAAATTATTGGAGTCCACATCTGGTGACTGTGGAAAGCAGCTTCTGAAAACCGTTTAAAGATTTGCGATATTAAACAAGACTGAATGGATTGAGCCGTATTTAACTGAGTTAGTTGTTTTGCAGCGAAATTAGCAGAGATTTTATTGTTCAAACAAATCTACTGTTAAAGCATTCATTAATAATAAGTTCTGTATTTTCTTAGTTTTGTCTTTGTAAAGTACGGAACTGGACAAGACACTACATTAGCTACGTTGTACCAGTTCTGGCGCACTAGTAGTTACGTTGTACCAGTTCTGATGCACTGAGTCAGAAGTGGTACAAGTACGACGTTCGTCGACTCACGATCCTAAAAAAAAAGGTTTTGGCATGCTCTGATCACGAATCTGCTAACGGATTCAAATCTGGACTGGAGGAGGGCCAGTCTTCATGCCGGATGAAGTCGATTTCACGTGCCGCCAGCCAGTCTTGTGTGCTCTTCGCTCTATGAGCTGACGCCGAATCTTGTTGAAATACCCAGTGCCTGTTATTGAACAAGGTATGAGAAACAGGTTACACAAGGTTCGTCAGGACTGTATTTTGATACACAACTACATTCGTTTTTACACCTTTCTCACAAAAATGTACCTTTATTAAGCCCCAATAAGAAACTCCCAACCATACCATGAGCGAGGATGGAAAATGACCTCGTTGGACACGCGGAATACGGTTGCTCGCTTCTTCACTACTGTGTGCGTACACCTTATCATTTTGTTTGTTGTTGCTCTTTTCTACGGTAAAAATTTTTTCATCCGAAAAAAGAATTTCCCGATATTTTTTTCTAGAGAAATGGCTATTCTAGACGTAAAACTATCCAATAAAAATGATGCGTTTATCGATCATTATTTGTTTCGGCCAAGTTATCCTTTCAATTATTTGTCGCTAAAAGACAAAAAAACTGCTCGTTATTATGAAACACACATGCACGGCATTCCATATTTTGATGTGACCGAAGAATTAAAATGCCTACAAACAAGAGAACATCATTCGCATATTAAATTGGTATATTAGAAATTTGTGCAAAGACGAAGTGACCGCATACAAAGGTAGTTCAACAGAAAAATAATTTTTAAAGATGTTGACGACGAATGATAGAATTTTTAATATTGAAGAATACAAATGTCCAAAATACAATGATTTGGTAAATGTCATAAATTTAAACAAACGTTATGTGTGTAATAATCATATATTTGCAAAAAATAATCACAAAATTTTACATTGTTCTTGTGACGAAGTGTGGGTTTTTTACAAGTGGTTATTGCTTGAAAATAAAATTTTAAATTAATCATAAATTTTGTTTGATTTCCCAAAAACATTAGTTATAGTATACTATATAATACAAAGGTGGTTCAACAGAAAAAAAATTTTTAAAAATGTTGACGACGAATGATAGAATTTTTAATATTGAAGAATACAAATGTCCAAAAATACAATCATTTGGTAGATGTCATAAATTTAAACAAACATTATGTGTGTAATAATCATATATTTGCAAAAAATAATCACAAAATTTTACATTGTTCTTGTGACGAAGTGTGTGGTTTTTTTACAAGTGGTTATTGCTTGAAAATAAAATTTTAAATTAATCATAAATTTTGTCTGATTTCCCAAAAACATTAGTTATAGTATACTATATAATACAAAGGTTGTTCAACAGAAAAAAAATTTTTAAAAATGTTGACGACGAATGATAGAATTTTTAATATTGAAGAATACAAATGTCCAAAATACAATCATTTGGTAAATGTCATAAATTTAAACAAACATTATGTGTGTAATAATCATATATTTGCAAAAAATAATCACAAAATTTTACATTGTTCTTGTGACGAAGTGTGGGTTTTTTACAAGTGGTTATTGCTTGAAAATAAAATTTTAAATTAATCATAAATTTTGTTTGATTTCCCAAAAACATTAGTTATAGTATACTATATAATACAAATGTGGTTCAACAGAAAAACAATTTTTAAAAATGTTGACGACCAATGATAAAATTTTTAATATTGAAGAATACAAATGTCCAAAATATGTACAATGATTTGGTAAATGTCATAAATTTAAACAAACGTTATGTGTGTAATAATCATATATTTGCAAAAAAATAATCACAAAATTTTACATTGTTCTTGTGACGAATTGTGGGTTTTTTACAAGTGGTTATTGCTTGAAAATAAAATTTTAAATTAATCATAAATTTTGTTTGAATTGTTTACACCAACACTTTCATTTTTTATTTCACATCTTAGAACTTTAGATGTGTGTAATGTTTCACTTTATACCTCCGTTTACTGCTATTTTGGCAGGACCAAGTGGATGTGGGAAGTCAAATTTCTTAACAAATCATAAAATCAGTTATAGAAATATGTAATTGTGATTTTAATCAGATCACATGTGTTTTGATGAAATGCAACCTTTATATAATTTACCAAATGTAAACTATCATCAAGGAAATCTAAATCTAAAAAAAATACATGATTATTACACACATAACGTTTGTTTAAATTTATGACATTTACCAAATCATTGTATTTTGCGCATTTGTATTCTTCAATATCAAAAATTCTATCATTCGTCGTGAACATTTTTAAAAATTGTTTTTTTGTTGAACCACCTTTGTATTATATAGTATACTATAACTAATGTTTTTGGGAAATCAAACAAAATTTATGATTAATTTAAAATTTTATTTTCAAGCAATAACCACTTGTAAAAAACCCACACTTCGTCACAAGAACAATGTAAAATTTTGTGATTATTTTTTGCAAATATATGATTATTACACACATAACGTTTGTTTAAATTTATGACATTTACCAAATCATTGTATTTTGGACATTTGTATTCTTCAAAAATTAAAAATTCTATCATTCGTCGTCAACATTTTTAAAAATTGTTTTCCTGTTGAACCACCTTTGTATTATATAGTATACTATAACTAATGTTTTTGGGAAATCAAACAAAATTTATGATTAATTTAAAATTTTATTTTCAAGCAATAACCACTTGTAAAAAACCCACACTTCGTCACAAGAACAATGTAAAATTTTGTGATTATTTTTTTGCAAATATATGATTATTATTCACATAACGTTTGTTTAAATTTATGACATTTACCCAATCATTGTACACATTTGTATTCTTCAATATTAAAAATTCTATCATTCGTCGTCAACATTTTTAAAAATTGTTTTTCTGTTGAACCACCTTTGTATTATATAGTATACTATAACTAATGTTTTTGGGAAATCAAACAAAATTTATGATTAATTTAAAATTTTATTTTCAAGCAATAACCACTTGTAAAAAACCCACACTTCGTCACAAGAACAATGTAAAATTTTGTGATTATTTTTTTGCAAATATATGATTATTATTCACATAACGTTTGTTTAAATTTATGACATTTACCCAATCATTGTACACATTTGTATTCTTCAATATTAAAAATTCTATCATTCGTCGTCAACATTTTTAAAAATTGTTTTTCTGTTGAACCACCTTTGTATTATATAGTATACTATAACTAATGTTTTTGGGAAATCAAACAAAATTTATGATTAATTTAAAATTTTATTTTCAAGCAATAACCACTTGTAAAAAACCCACACTTCGTCACAAGAACAATGTAAAATTTTGTGATTATTTTTTGCAAATATATATTTATTACACACATAACGTTTGTTTAAATTTATGACATTTACCAAATCATTGTATTTTGGACATTTGTATTCTTCAATATTAAAAATTCTATCATTCGTCGTCAACATTTTTAAAAATTGTTTTTCTGTTGAACCACCTTTGTATGCGATCACTTCGTCTTTGCACAAATTTCTAATATACCAATTTAATATGCGAATGATGTTCTCTTGTTTGTAGGCACATTTTAATTCTTCGTTCACATCAAAATATGGAATGCCGTGCACGTGTGTTTCACAATAACGAACAGTTTTTTTGTCTTTTGGCGACAAATAATTGAAAGGATAAATTGGCCGAAACAAATAATGATCGATAAACGCATCATTTTTATTGGATAGTTTTACGTCTAATAGCCATTTCTCTACATTGAAAATGTTTCTGAGGATATGTAATGTAAAATCCGTCCATGTCGATGATGTATCTAATATTTTTTAGATTTTGTGTCATTTTGAACCAAAATGTTAAAAGTGTAATACGTGTAAATACGTGACTAAAATATGTTTGTTCCAACAAACTTCACATAACAATTCATTCTTCATTACTTCCCATCATCCCATTTCTTTCTTCTGCTCTTATCTTCCTGTAATTTAAGTAAACAGAATCACATTCACTAATGATCACTAATGACTGTCATTGTTAAAAAAGTATTTTTTAACTTTTAACTTTCTACTATTGTCTTTGTATTTATGGCTAGGAAATATCCACGGCGCGGTCTCAATGCGTGTTGGCGAACTTCACATGCCTTCGAAATTTTCTCAGACATGCAGGTTTCCTCACGAATTTTTCCTTCACCGCCGAGCACGTGGTAAATCAGCACTTAAAATTGCAATTAACAATTTAAGTGGTGCCGGCGGGGTCGAACCCGGGTCGCGTACTGTGAAATTTACAGCTTGCGCTAACTATCTGAGCTACCACGGCTTAATCATATACACACACACACAATATTTAAATACAATTTGTTAACACTAAATCATACACACGTAAGAAAATAACAAAAAGAAAAGTAAGTTTGTCAATAGAATAAACGCTTAAAATTGCAATTAACAATTTAATTGGTGTCGGCGGGGATCGAACCCGCGTCGCGTACTGTAAAATTTACAGGTTGCGCTAACCCCATCTGAGCTACCACGGCTTAATCATATACACACACAATATTTAAATATAATTTGTTAACACTAAATCATACACACGTAAGAAAATAACAGAAAGAAAAGTAAGTTTGGTAATAGAATAAACACTTACATCTATGGCCTTTGATGCGTTGAAGTAACACAAATGTATTATTGATAGATACACTGCGGTTAAACGACCATACACTAACTCCATGACTGCAGTTGCTTGGTCTTATATAGTACCAGTAAGTAATAATTCTAATCTAAAGAATTTCTACAGTGGAATTGATAATAACTTTATGCGTCAACAAGCTTATCTCACATTCTGTTGCTTATCTCATCATTACTTCGTGTTGCGTCTTATTCAGTGTATCGATGACTCAAATACGTACAAAAATAATACAAAAAAATGCAATTTAATAATTAGAAATCACATAATTGATCATTCCTATGTTGTATGTACTGTAATAATCTACTAATAGCAGTAATATCATGGATACACTATGTAGATGTACAACAACATCTGAAAAAGGTTCACCCCACTCTAGAAAATAATGTTTATGCTGCTAATAGACCTATAATAGATATATAATAGTAGATATATACCTAGTCAGGTCATAAGTATTGTCACACAGTAAAAACTTTTCTTTTAGAATGCTGGCCACAAAAAAGTTTGTTGAATTCGAATTTCGAATTGTTCATGAAAATAAAACTGTATACTTTTTAGAATTTTACAAATTTTTTAATATGGAGTGGACGTTTAAAGAATACCGTGTTGCAGTTATTGCGTTGCATCGTTGCGGTCCCGCGCCAATTCAAATTTTTGACATACCGAAAAATTTGAATATAACCAAAAGATTTGTTTATCGTACCATCAAACGATACAATGAAGACTCTAGTGTAGATGACGGGTCAAGAAGTGGTCGCCCTCGGTCTGTTAGGACTCCAGCAGTGATAAAAGCTGTGAAGGCGCGAATTCAAAGAAACCCCAAACGTAAGCAGAAACTGTTGGTCCTTCAGATGAGGTTAAGCAGATCCACGGTGAAAAAGGGTGTTAAATGAAGAGCATATCGAAGAAAAACAGGACATCGTTTGAATGCTCGTCTAATGGACCTTTTTACCGTAGAAAAGAGCTACAACAAACAAAATGATAAGGTGTACGCACACAGTAGTGAAGAAGCGAGCAACCGTATTCCGCGTGTCCAACGAGGTCATTTTCTATCCTCGCTCATGGTATGGTTGGGAGTTTCTTATTGGGGCTTAACAAAGGTACATTTTAGTGAGAAAGGTGTAAAAACGAATGTAGTTGTGTATCAAAATACAGTCCTGACGAACCTTGTGTAACCTGTTTCTCATACCGTGTTCAATAACAGGCACTGGGTATACCAACAAGATGCGGCGTCAGCTCATAGAGCGAAGAGCACACAAGACTGGCTGGCGGCGCGTGAAATCGACTTCATCCGGCATGAAGACTGGCCCTCCTCCAGTCCAGATTTGAATCCTTTAGATTACAAGATATGGCAACACTTGGAGGAGAAGGCGTGCTCAAAGCCTCATCCCAATTTGGAGTCACTCAAGACATCCTTGATTAAGGCAGCCGCCGATATTGACATGGACCTCGTTCGGGCTGCGATAGACGACTGGCCGCGCAGATTGAAGGCCTGTATTCAAAATCACGGAGGTCATTTTAAATAAACTATAGTGTCATAAGAATCTATGTTTTGTTAAGTTCATTTTGGTATATAAATGGTTACATAATGAATAAACAATTATTTTATATTAAACATGTGATAGAATTTATCACCTGACTAGGTAATATGCAATTTGGGTACAGATGATAAACCAGGGTCACATTGGGTAGCTTTATATATCGATAAGAATGACGTCGGTCAATATTTTGATTCATATGGACGGACACCTGTACGATATCATCTAGAGTTTTTAAAAAGAAATTGTAAAAGATGGAACTGGAATGTTGATAGGATTCAGAATGAGTGGACTTCAGTTTGTGGCGAATATTGCTTAATGTATTTGCTATATAAGTTTCAGGGATGTTCAATGCATAGTTTTACGAGTATATTTACAGGGAACACATTTTACAACGATATTTTAGTGGATGAGATGTTTCGCTCCTATTTTATAGATAATAAGTAATAAGATTTTGTATTTCGTAAATAAAAATTGTAACAAAATTAGGTAATGTATTTTATTGATGATTCAGATTACCGTTGTAGATAGGGACCAAGGAGTATAATATAATAGCATAAGCCGACCCACACGCTGACGAGTATTAGATAATGACGGTATTGAACGAACAATAGATAAGTAGATAAGGACGGTATTGAACGAACAATAGATAAGTAGATAAGGACAATGGAGCGCTAATGACGGTTGAGGCCTACACCGGATATCAATTAGATAAGAGTTAATTGATTTGCACATCTCCGGAACCGTGCATCCTACGCAAAAATGGACCGCAGATTCGTGATCAGAGCATGCCAAAACTTTTTTTTTCCTTTTAGGATCGTGAGTCGACGAACGTCGTACTTGTACCACTTCTGACTCAGTGCGCCAGAACTGGTACAACTTCTTACTCAGTGCGCCAGAACTGGTACAACGTAACTACTAGTGCGCCAGAACTGGTACAACCTAACTACTCACTACTACTACGTGCAGGTGGCTCAGGGTCGTGTTTATCTATATAGGAACCCTATTTAGCAGTGAGTTGTAATGATAATGATGATATGTTGAATTATGATTTGGTGTGATGCATGCCTTAGTGAATTTGTTTCGTGATTAGATGAGGTTTATCATCTCGTGAATATTATAATAGGTGATTAAGAGCCTAAAGATAATTTCTTAGAGTGTCCGTCAAATGGCGTTGTAACAGAACAGTGACAGGGAGCAGCGTTAAAGGTGCTAGATGCTGTGATACGATTGCTAACATACTTGACCAGCTTTGCGATAAATCTTACCCACTGGGGGAGAGGAGAAGCCCATGTACACGGTCTGTTTATGAGGTAAAGCAGAATATAAGACCGATATTTTGAATGCATTTTGGTTAGCTGGCCGCGAAGTGCTACCGCGAGGCAGGCGACGAGGCGCGCTCGATGTTCCTCGACAAGGCGCTTGAGCTGGCCGCGGCGCAAGGAGACGGGGACTTCAACGCTGGTGATTTTTTTAAACTTTATTTTAAATTCCACTATAATCCGCGATGAGACATTAAGATTAAGATTAAGCTACAGCTTTGATGTCTGTTAACCTGGGTTGTGTTTATATAGAGTTAATCCATTCTGGTTCGATTATGCAGAAAGAACTTACAGTATTCTGTCTGCAGTGCAGTGCAGCGATATGCTTAGCTTTAAATAGACCGTAGCTATATACGTTTTTAATGTTGCTCAGCTTTTAAATGAAGTGCCAAAATTCTTATACGATTTTCGTATAAGTATTTGAGTTTAATCGGGTTAGTAAGCTAAAGTGGCAACGGTCCTATCACATAGCTCGCAGAACCGATGCCTAGTGGGAGGCCAAACTTCAGCAGTAAATATTTTTTGACCGCATTTAAAAAAAAATTGGGTACTTAATAAGTTTGAGACGCTGAACCTAAATTATACAATACAAACATTTCCAAAATGGTGATTGTCAGCGTTAACAGTGTGTAGTTACCAACTGCGCTTACAAATAATAATTAATAATACTAATCCTTTAATGATTTGATTAGAGTTTAAATCAAACACAGTTAACAACTTATTAGCATTTTTATTCTATTTTATTCGGAAAACTTACAGCTGACATTACATAGGTATAAAAATGAATATCAATCAGAAGGCCTATTAAAAGTTTTCAGCTATAGACAATATAACATTAGAAATAATAATTTCAGTCAATAGTTTACTTGACATCAGCTGCACACAGAATACTATGTATCGAATTGACAAAATATTCTCCTATGGTTTTATAAAATAATAACAGAATTTAAATTAATGACTTACTATATTTTTATACTGGTAGGTTTGAAAAGCCCACTGGTTCAGGCTCAGCTTGCTATTTTGTCGGGTGATCTGTCCGCCGCCGAAGAGAATTACGTGAAGAGAGCCTCTAGACCTGACCTGGCCGTAGATATGTACAAGCAGTTCAGTATGTGGCCGGAAGCCATCGCTGTCGCCGAAAAATACGACCCAGCCTCTGTGCCTACAATGAAACAGCAGTATATGGAGTACTTGATGTCGTCTGGTATGCTATATCAAAGTTTTACGCGTGACGAAATGTACTAGAATAACTCGGCCACGAGAAATGAATGATTGACACATGTCTGGTGTGTTGTGTGGTGCGTGCGAAGGTCGCGTGGGCGAGGCGGGCGAGGTGGTGGCGGGCGGCGGGGACGCGGCAGGCGCGGTGCGGCTGTGGCTGCGCGCGGGCCGCGTGCGCCGCGCCGCCGCCGCGCTGCTGGCGCACCCCACGCTGCTGCGCGACGAGCAGCTGCTGCACGCCGTGCTCACACGCCTCCTGCAGGTGCGCACCTTGCATTGCTCTACACTCCTTATTTTATATCCCACAAGGTCAAAGTCCACTGCTGTTTTTTCTATAGAATAAGGGTGACAAACGAGCACACAGTCCATTTGATGGTAAGTGGACGCTGTGGCCCATAGACATCTATATTTATCCTCGATTAAGAATCAAAATGCGGATGCGTTGTCCCCCCTGAAGACTACAATGGAATGCCACGTTTCCAGTAAAAAGGTTCTATTTTACGCTGGTATTCTGTGAGAGCGTGGTCCTACCCCAGTCGAGCCAAACTATTCGTGCTACAACCGTAATAACCGTAATATAGCTGCAGCCTGGCTCTATCACGTAGGCCATGCCCCATATATGCAATATATATATATATAATACATTTTCCATTCCATTTCATTAAACTCAATTCTATTCTAGAATAGAATTCTATTCTATTAAATCAATTGTGCGCCACCCTCCTTGGTGCCAAGGATCCTTTTTCCAAGTTTAATGAATGCTAATAATATCCCGTGCCATTGACTCCCTGCAGACGCAGTTAAGTAAGGCGTTTTACTCCTTTTGCAAAATTTACCACCGTTCGGATCGTGCTGAAAATTGAATCAACCTCTACGTTGAGATAGTTTTGGCCATGCTTCCGTGAACACGAGAATTGTGCCGTGCATCTTTACCGACGATCATTTCATCGCCATTTGACCGTTAAAATCACCACTATGCTATCGGAGCTCGGTATTTTACGCAGAAATTTCTCTTCCACACATGCGAACCAAATTGCCTCCCACAGATTCAACACGGGGCAAATTAGAGAGTAACTGCACCTTCAAGCAACAACTTCACCCGCATAAGATGTTCTGGATATCGACTTCAAGTTGGCCATTACGTAGGTCTTTGCTCACGGGAATTCTCACCCTTACTTGATTCTCACACTTTCTTGCAGAAACAACATCCTGACATCCTTCGAGAATATCGGTCAGCTCTGGGTATCATCCAGATAGAGAGCCAATTTTCTATGTGGTAAAGTGGAGTTTCTTAGGTACTAGCTTCTTTAGCTGTGCCTACACATGATATAGTAGTCCACACCTACCTGTTGCAGGTGAGGAGCAGTGTATCTGCGCTTTGTTAATCGGTGATGCTAGGTTAGAGAGGGAGCCACAGTAGCTAAATAGTTTTCAAATCAAACCATGTTTATTTAAAAGTTTTGGTTATTATGTGGAGCTATCTGCTCTCTGTAATCAACACCCCAGTGGGGAAAGCATTTCGCCAGCGTCTCGTTAGTTATATAGCAGAGTGTAATGCGAGCTGATAAGTTTAATTTAGGTCCTGAATATGTGAAGTAGATCGCTTACACTCGAATCTGTAATTGATATATTTTTATATTTATTCTTGGTCTATTTTCAAAGTAACATTAACATCAATAGATATAATCACAAGTTCTTCGTTGAATTTTCCTCTTGTACTCGCAGCCGTGGTAGCTCAGATGGTTAACGCTCGCTGTAAATATAACAGAACGCGAGTAACCCGGGTTCGATCTCCGCAGGCACCAATGAAATTGTTAATTGCAATTTTAAGTGCTGATTTACCACGTGCTCGGCGTTGAAGGAAAACATCGTGAGGAACCCTGCATGTCTGAGTAATAAGAAAAAATATATTTTCGAAGACAAGTGAAGTTCGCCAACACGCATTGGGGCACCGCAGCGGACACTTCCTTGGCCTAAACCCTCTCAGAAATGAGGGGAGGCCTGTACCCAGCAGTGGGACGTATATACGCTGTAACTAGGCTGCTATGTGTTTGTAATATGGAATTTAAACAGCAATGCAAACGCAGCAGAACAAGAGCTTGGCAATACACTTTCTTCTTTCTCATTATAAAAGAGGTATTGGTATTCAAAAAATAATATTTATATTTTATTTTAAAGGAAGAGTGGTGGGAGTTGGCTGGTGAATTATCGGAGAAAAAGGGTGACATTAAATCTGCCGTGGAATATTACGCCAAAGGACACAATTATGCAAGAGCTGTCCAGCTAGCAAGAGAGGTTTGATATGGAAATTATTTATTAAAATGGCGCATAAAAACGGATATTTTTTTAAATTTTCAGTGATTTTGAAAATAATTATTCAAAAATAGCAATTTTTCAAATACAGATAACTCTTGGTGATTCACACCTTGTTTTAAGATAAAAATGCTCATATTTACTTTATATAAAAAAGCAATGGTTTGTGTTAGAAGAAAGTTCCTTTTTTTCATTCTTCTTTCTTTCAAAGAACAAAAATATATTTATTTTAAGCAAAAGCAAAACTAAATTTCAAGAAAATTAAACTATTAATAAGTAGATATATCATCAAAAGAATAACAGATACATTAATTTTAGGAGCCCTTTCTTTCTTCTTTCTTTTTTGGAGCTATAGTAGACCTATAGAGCTTCAAAAGACTAGACGTAATTTTTCAATCCATCGATCCCATCTAATCACACAATGTCATCGTTACACGTGACAAAGAATTCCACCTCAGTTCCGACTATCGTGAGCGTAAGATTATTAGTCATCAAAGACTTCCATGTATATAATACTGAATCGGCAATTCAGAACAAAAACTGTGTCGCACTCAGATCATATAAACAACAGGAGATATGGCAAGGAGGCGTGGCACTTGCGAACGCATCTGGCCGCAAAGCGGCCTGATGCCAGTTTCGGTAATTAGTCGAATGTCAACTTGTGACATCTTCACTGCTCGTGATTTTTGACAAAATGCCGCGTTGTTCAGTGATTATTTGCAAAAATAACGGCCGTATTGTGAATTACATGTAAGATGGCATCTCATTTCACACGTAAGTACTAAAATATTAATGTTTTTCTTATTCAATTTATTAAAACATTACTTCGTGGTACTAGAAACACGATGAAAAACCAAATCAAATGTTTTCATTAGGAACAAAAAACCATTGCTTGCTTAGTACAAATCGACCTGTGAATCAGCTGGTCTAATAGCGCAATGGATAAGTGTTTTACTGATACTCTCACTCACACGATAGTTTCGTGAAGCAGCCGCTGCCGGCTATTGTGAGTTAGAGACACATGTTTTTGTGTGAATAAGTTTTGTAGCAGGAAGTTAATGTTGTGTGATCTTCTGATTTATAAATTTTATCATTAATGAACTAGGTAGTATTGAGTGAAAACTACAATTATTGACTAAACCAAAAAACCTAATAAAAACAAAAACTATTCTTCTCTATGCAGACGACTAAAAAGGTTAGGAGAATTGACCGTAACTTGTATGCACTATGTATACATAACGTAGTGCCAGTCTAGTAGTATACATAGAAAACTTTGTGCAACCTGTACAACCTGTTTATTTGTATAATCTTACTTTGAAAACAAAACCATCCCGCTGATTTGCTCTTACGTTTGCTCGTTCTTCGTGTAATAAAGTTACGGAGAATGGAGCGTAACTTAAGACCGATTTACATTTCAACAAGTACAGTAGCGAGTTTAGTTACAGGGCAGTTGACAGTAAACGGTTAAGTGGGCAGTAGCGTTCAAACAATGTCTTCGTGGCTTCGTCTTCGTCGTCAATATTAAAACGTATAAATATTCAATAAGCAGTATCGTACAAACTATGTGGCGAGTTTCATTATAAAAGTACAATTGTACGTTTTGGCGCGCAAACGTTGCGTCCTGTCGACTTATGCACTGAACTAAACTCGCTCCTTTACACGAACGGCAAGTTTAGTTGCGGGTGGCGGGAGATGCGTGGGAGGGCAGCACTTCGCACTTAACTCGCAAAAAATAAACCAGCCAGCTGTCCTGTTGTACTTAATTGTTAACTTGCTAATTGCCGTTCAAACGAGGTTCAAACGCCAGGTTCGCAAGTTAACTCGCTACTGTACTTGTCGAAGTGTATATCGGTCTGTAGTGAGCAATGTATTAGTACTGATATTTACGTCTAGTAGTACACATAGAAGTATTTGGGCGTTTTTGTTGAAGGCGTGTCCGTCGGAGGTGACGCGGCTGGAGCGCGCGTGGGGTGCGTGGCTGGTGGGCGCGCGACAGGCGGGCGCGGCCGTGCCGCACCTCATCGAGGCGGGCGACACGCGCGCCGCGCTCGACGCAGCTTTGCGCGCCCACGCCTACAAAAAAGCGCTGCACATCGTGCAGGTGCCACGATTCACTCTAATTTCCCCCAAAACTTAGCTTCCGTTTGGGAGGTTCAATTGAAACCAATGTTTGTTCAAAAATGTATGTGAATAAGAATTGGGGCTGGCTGTGCACGCTCGCTGTAAATATAACAGAACGCGAGTAACCCGGGTTCGATCTCCGTCGGCACCAATGAAATTGCTAATTGCAATTTTAAGCGCTGATTTACCACGTGCTCGGCGGTGAAGGAAAACATCGTGAGGAAACCTGCATGTCTGAGGAAAAAGAAAAAAAATATTTCGAAGATATGTGAAGTTCGCCAACACGCATTGGGGCAGCGCGGCGAACACTTCCTTGCCCTAAAACCCTCTCAGAAATGAGGGGAGGCCTGTGCCCAGCAGTGGGACGTATATAGGCTGTAACTTCACTTTACTTTGTGTCATAACGCTCGTCGTGGTTAATGAGGTTGTGTTACCAAATTAAATGTATTATTTATACCATTTACCTTATGCTTAATTTTTGTGCTAATTAGAATTTCATTTTGCATAGGTTATAGAAGACAAAGGTTCAATACGAGAACAATGCGAACAATTAGGCGATCACTACATTTCTACACAGGTACATCACATAATCTTGGTTAACAATTGTAATTTTATGCGTTTAAAATATACCATATAATATAGTAACTGATGTAAATGTAATTTTCAGCTACCTACAGAGAAATTTTGCCTATTTTATTGTTGCATTTTACTTTTTAGCAATAGTACTAATGATAAATGTTATAGCTAATGATTGTTGGTTTGTTAACCCAATTTCAGGAACGAAATCGTGCTTCGGCTTTCTTAATAAACTGTGTGGACTGAGTATATAAAGTAAAAGTTAACAGATTTTGAAGAAAAGTGTATAAAAATATTTTGTTATTGTTCAAAGAAGTATTATGATGTGCCACAGGATTGGGAGACAGCAGAAAGGGTGCTGACTTCATGCGGCATGGCTGATCGTTGTGTTAAAGCCTACAACAACGCAGGTCGTATAGCAGACGGCCTACGTCTAGCTGCTTCTCAGCTCACAGAGGACGAAACAAGAGAAATTTATTTGCCTCTAGCTCAACAATTGAGAGAGGATGGACAACTAAGGAAAGCCGAGCAAATTTACATTGGACTTGGGGAGCCAGATGAGGCTATATCTATGTATAAGGTAATTTGCTGTTGGTTTTGTGTAATTACATTTGCTATAACTCTTAATCTCTACGAGGTTGATTTGTAATTAGTGCGATTTCTGTTTACCTTAATTTCTCATTGTTTAGTGGATTATTCAGTACTTTTGTGCAATTTGTAATAGGTCCATCAGGTTATACAACATATAACGCAATTTTTAGGAGGCATCTCAATACGAATCTATGCTGAGGCTGGTAGCCGCTCATCGTAGCTCACTACTGGAAGCTACAAGACGTCACGTTGCGCAGGCGCTACATGCATCCGGTGATTTGAGAGCTGCTGAAACGTATTACATTCAAGCGGGTGAGTTGATTAATACCCTCATACTATCTTTAGTTCTCTAAATATGAAAATAAATAAGATAGTAAATGAGAGTAAAGAAAAATATTTACACATTCGAATAAGGTTGATGGTGATTGTGACATAAGTGTATCTTTCACTCTATGCCATACCGTGAGTGAGGGACCACGCTCTCACAGAATACCAGCGTAAAATAGCAGCTAAACGCTCTGTGTTTCGTATGGTGAGTGTAAAGAACCAAAGACCCTTTTTACTGAAAACGAGGCCAGAAGAGAGTTCTCACGGGTGAGAACGCATCTGCATTTTGATTCGAAGTCGAGGATAGATGAGATGTCTATGAGCCGCAGCAACCACTTACTATTAGGTGGACTGTGTGCTCGCTTGTCACCCTATCCTATAAAAATATGTTTCATTTTTTATATTAAAAAAGAATATTAACAATGCTATAAACATTACTAATATTCCCCTTAACCACTCGTAGTAAGCTTAAATAGCTTGTGTTACGAGTTGTTCACGCCAGCAGTCAAATGGTGGATTCGAACCCACGACCTTTTTGAGTTCGCGGTCCGCGCCCTGCCATTAGGCTACTGTCGCTATTGTCTGTGATCTTGTGAATAATCCATAACGACAATGATTTTATTAGTGCAGTTGGCCTACTTTGCCTCTTTATTTAATATCTTCTGGTATATAACATATTACATCGTATAGATATAGTGTTTCGGGAAGAGAGACAACATTATTCTCGGGCTTTGATGTGTGTCAAAATACAGATTGGCGTGGGAAAGGTTTTCAAAACTGTGCAGAGTCATATACCAAATACTTTCCTACACTTGTAAACTAAGTCTTCAAAGGTGACAATGCATCTACATTTTGATTCTTAATTGAACCATTTACCATCATCTGGACTGCGTGCTCGTTTGTCACCCTTATTCTATAAATAAAATAAATAACAGTAAAGGGTAATTGTGGGAAATGCCAGAAGTACCTGTATGTGCGATTATAGCAAATATTTATTCCTAAGTTGTACAAGTTGTTTACACAATAATTTGCATAAATATATTGTGCTTAAACAGTAGTTTGTAATTGCTGTATTTGGTGAGCAAACCTTCCGTGTTTGTATTTTTTTTATATTACCCTATAAAAACGAGCATACAGTCCACCTGATGGTAAGTGGTTGCTGCGGCCCATAGACATCTACATCTATCCTCGATTACGAATCAAAATGCAGATGGGTTGTCACCTGTGAGGACTTAAATGGAATGCGTCGTCTCCAGTAAAAAGGGTCTCCGGTTGTCTCCACTCGCCAAACGAAACACACCAGCATTACGCTACTATTTCGCGCTGGTATTCTGTGAGAGCGTGGTCGTTCCCCGGTCGAGCCGACCCATTCGTGCTACAACTATACTACTAATATAACTGCAGCATGTCTCTACCACGTATAAAGCAGTATGTAGCATGTTGCATATTGTGCCTTTCAATAGCCGTAACATGAAAAGGAAAACAAATACGCTTCTACCGTCTTCTGCCACATCCCGACTCGTTTGTTGGTGGTACACAAAAATCAATTTCTATAAATTACCAGGATATACACCTGCGTTCACATTTTTGGATATGGGTTGATGTTGACTTTTTGACCGATTAGTGTTTTAAATTGGTAATTTCGTCTTTTAAATCAATAAAAACCCCCCAAATGAGGTATAAATATTTCACAGATCTCATAGCGGGGAGATTAAATTCTTTGAAAAATGTAAAGATTAATGTTTCTTTCTGCGTTATGTAATGGTTTATATTAATTAGATTATAAATGAATAAATCGAACTACGAATATTTTTAAAAGTAGAAGAGGTAGTTTGTATGTAACCGAAAATCTTTCATTTAAAACCATTCTTTCTTCGAAGATGACTTAGTATGACAGATGTCCGACAGGTAAGATGTGAACTCGGTCACAACTAGCAACATCTGGTTAACAGCCAAGATGACTTTTTACGATCGTTTTTTATAGTTTTCTATAGCGTTAACGATCGTAGAAGGTCATCTTGGCTAACTCCGCTGGTGAGCGCAAGATTATTAGCCTTCATCGCCTTGTTAATAGTGTGGTGTGTCCACAGGGGAATGGAAGAGCGCGATCCAGATGTACAAGTCGTGCGGGCAGTGGGAGAGCGCAGAGCGCGTGGCGCGCGCGCATGCACCCGCCGCGGTGCAGCAGCAGGTCGCGCTGCAGTGGGCCGCCGGCCTGCCGCCGCCCGCCGCCGCACGCCTGCTGGCTGCGCGCGGGCTCGCCGCCGTCGGCGTGCGCTGGGCGCTGCAAGCGGGCAGGTGCGCAAAACTTAAAAAATACCACCATAAGGTCTAAAATCGCGTACCGCCCGCTACGATTAAAACAGCTTAGAAATTGTCAGAATCTTAAAATATTTTTTAGAAATTATTGATTTAAGTAATCAAAATAATGAGCAAGTAAATGATAAATATTGATGTTATGAATATATATGAGTGATTACCAAGCATATAGATTAAGTAATTTCGTTGTAATTTCATTTATAGTGATTTTTAGAGGTGTTTTCGCAAATAATTATGATCGAGTCAAAATTATACAATCGTGGTTTTGAACAATCTAATTCAAGATAAAGACATGAATTCACCTATATCAAAATTCCACTTTCGTTAGCGGTGTCATAGTCCTATACTATTCGATGAAAGGAGGTGCATTTTTTTCACAGTGTCGCCTTAATGGGTGGCGTGATGACACTCCGAACTGATTGAGAACTGTTTGTAGTGTAAATATAACATTTATTTATAACTTCTTCAAAGTAACATAATATGTACATATAATGTAATGTTAAAGTTAATGGCGAACCGTCAGTGATGGTAAGTAAGAATGTTTAATACCGCATATTATCCCGTGGATGTTCAAAGAAGCGACAAAGACGAACAGAAACAGAAGATGGGCGGCAGCACCTTCCCGACGACCAGCTGTAAATACATCTGCAACCTGGTTATGCCACGTACATTATGTGTAGAGCCACTCTTCCACATATAGTATCATCGGTGTGACGTCTCGTCTAGATTGAAGAAAGGTTGCCATATGCCAGTATAGAGATAGGTGTTTGATATTGTTACGAGCTTGAGGTTCGTGACAATAAAAATTGCCGATAAAATTACCTAAAGTAACACTTTAATTTACTTTACACAAATTAAAACTTAAAACACTAATAATTAAACACACTAATTCACTTAATTCCACTCCGAAGCTTCGCTTGTTTCGCCCAAATCAACACTGCCTCGATCGCATCTTGCAGCGCCTATATATTTGAATTAGCAAAGAAATATCCAGAATGTTCAAGTAAACACGCGGAAGGTACCGAGCGTTCGAGTTTCGACTAGGCGCTGTCAGTTGAGCGATTTGTGATGTCATTTTCTCAATGCTCCCCTCGCTCTCGTTCCTGACACTAGATGGCGCTAGTTGACTTATTCATGCAACACTGCCCCCTCCTAAGACATGCTCGTCCCGAGCGTTATCGGTCCCATAATAACGCGCCAAGCGATCCACATGGACGATCTTAGGAGTCCCTCTTGCGCCTTTCTGTATCCGGTAGGTCACATCGTTGATCCTGGTTACAATCCGGTACGGGCCGTCCCATTTAGCTTGAAGCTTAGGAGATTTCCCTTTGCTGCGGACTGGATTGTGCAACCACACAAGTGAACCTTCGTCGAACCCTTTGTTGTTCATTTTGCGGTCATACCGGGTTTTCATCTTTTCAGACATTTGCTGGCCCGATTGTCTGACGTGCTCATAAACGTCATTCATTTTTTTCCGCAAGTCATTTGCATAATCGGTTATACTGCGTGGAGCATCGGGTGGTATCCCGGTGATCAGGTCTGCAGGCAGCCGTAATTCTCTTCCAAAGTTTGCGAAAGCTGGTGTCACTGCTGTACTTTCGTGAACAGAACTTCGATATGACAACAAAAACGGTTGTATGTGCTTGTCCCAATCTCGTTGCCGATTGTCTACAACTTTGGCTAGGTACCTCTCCAATGTCTGATTAAATCGTTCCACCATTCCATCAGATTGCGGGTGATAAGAAGTCGTTCTTGTTTTATGAGTACCCATAACTCGGCAAGTTTCCTGGAATATTTGAGACTCAAAATTCCTTCCTTGATCGCTGTGAATCTCTAAAGGTACTCCAAAACGACAGAAGACTTCATGAACTAGTTTATCTGCAACTGTTGAAGCTTCTTGATTTGGAATGGCGAAGACTTCTGGCCACTTAGTGAAGTAATCCATCACAACCATGAAATACTTGTTACCGCTTTCACTCTCCGGAAACGGCCCCGCCACGTCAATGGCTATTCTCTCCCATGGTGCACCAACATTGTACAACTTCAATGCACCTCTACTACGAGTCTGAGGTCCCTTTACAGCCGCACAATTTGTACATTTGCGACACCAGTCCTCGACATCGTTTCGACAGTGGACCCAGTAAAACCGTTCTCGGATCTTCAATAGAGTTCGTTTAACTCCCAGATGGCCTCCTGAACAATCATTATGGTACAGCTGTAAAACATTCGGTACTTTAACTTTAGGGACAACCATTTGCAAATGACAGCTGTCTCCCCGAACGTTTTCCCATTTACGACACAGAACTCCATCCTGAAGCAGCAAGCTGTCCCACTGGGCCCAATAGCTTTTAGTGGTCGAACTCATCGCTGAGACGTCACTCCACTTGGGCTTGGGAGCACTGGCCTTTATCCATTCCAGAATCGGCTTGATGTCCGGATCTTCCTGCTGTGCATGTAGTAAGCTGTCCTTCCACTCGTTGCTGAGGTGGTCTGCCCTGAGCATCCTCACGGATACCACTTCCTTACGTAGTACAATGTTTCTCACTCTCTTGCCTAGTACAATGTTTGCAATCTTCAGGACAAGGTCTTCTTGACAATGCATCTGCGTTGCCATGAGATTTCCCGCTGCGATGTTCGATCTCAAAGTCGTATTCCTGCAGTAGTTCAATCCACCTCGCAACTTGTCCTTCTGGGTTTTTAAACTGCAATAGCCATTTTAGTGCAGCATGGTCAGTTCGTAAGTGAAATTTTCGTCCCAGAAGATATTTGCTAAAATGTTGCAACGACTTTACCACAGCTAGCAATTCGCGTCTTGTGACACAGTAGTTCCTTTCCGGTTTTGACAACGACTTGCTGAAGTACGCTATCACGACCTCTTGGTCACCATTCCGTTGAGACAACACACCGCCGAGTCCTATATCACTTGCGTCTGTGTCAACTATAAATTCTTTGCTTGCATCAGGGTATCCCAAAATAGGTGTTTTGCACAGACGGTCCTTGAGCTCCTGGAATGCGATATTGCAACTTTCATCCCAGCAGAAATTTCGCTTCTCCTCGGTTAGCTTGTGCAGAGGTTTGGCTATATCTGCAAAGTTCTTCACGAATCGCCGGTAATAGGAGCACAAACCCAAAAATGCTCTAACCTGCGTCTTGTCTTTTGGAACCGGCCAATCCTTGACAGCGGCGATTTTCTCTGGATCTGTGCGGATACCTTCTTCCGATACTACAAACCCCAAAAAGTTAACTTACCGTTGAAATAGTGAACATTTCTTCGGGCTCAACTTGAGGTTGGCACTCTGAATCTTCATGAGCACGCGTTCCAGGTTTTGAAGGTGTTCCTCAAACGTACGGCCCACGATGATGATGTCATCCAAGTAGACCAGACAGGCATCGCCAATTAGCCCGGTAAGTACAAGTTCCGTCAGCCTTTCAAACGTTGCTGGAGCATTGCACAACCCAAACGGCATTACTTTGAATTGCCACAGACCCTTTCCCGTCGAGAACGCAGTTTTCTCCTTGTCCTTAGGGTCAATTTCAACTTGCCAGTAGCCACTTTTTAGATCCAGCGTGCTAAACCATTTTACTCCTGTAAGCATGTCCAGCGTGTCATCAATTCTTGGCAAGGGATATCTGTCCTTCTTTGTAACGTCGTTCAGACGGCGGTAATCAACACAGAACCGCATGCTGCCATCCTTCTTTTTCACCAGCACCACTGGTGAACACCATGGACTAGAGGAAGGTTCAATAACACCATTCTTCAATCATGGTTTCCACTTCCTTTTCACGTGCTACCGGCAATCTTCTTGGCCGCTGACGGATAGGCAATTCCTCTCCTGTGTTTATTTTGTGTTGAACTAGGCCAGTCTTTCCTATGTCAGCATCATTTGATGAGAATACATCGGCGTACTTGAGTAACAACTTCTTCGCCTTGACCAATTCGTTCGGGGACAGAACACTGCGACAGTCTTCCAAAAGTGTGGTCACTCTCGTTTCTGAATCCTTGCTGGGGGTCCCACTCGATATATATTGGCACTGACGTAACCAATCCACTTCCTCACAAGTACCAACCAGTGTGCCTTTTTCTATAATCTGTTCCCGGTCGCAAAGGTTCAGCACACGTACTCCTGAGATGTCAGTGGTCCTGACCAAGGTTCGAGCTACTTTCCATGGAAGGTCATTGTTTACCCTTTCCACAAGTACACAACGGTGAGCTTGCCCAGCGTTTCGAGGTAGACTAACCGGAACAATCGTTTCCGATCTCGGCGGAAGAACAATCTTCTTGATGCTGTACACGTTCCCTGGTAACGCACCTTCCATAAAAAGTTCCTCCTGTCCACATTTCAAAACACCTTGCTTAACGTCGATCTCACAACAATTATTCCTCATAAAGTCTAGGCCTAAGATGCAGTCGTCCATTATATCAGCCACGATGACATTATGCAGGTAGATCACGTTGCCTAGCTTCAACTCCATCTCCTTCTCTCCACGGACGGGTATACGCTGACCGGTGGCTGTTACCAAATTAATGCGTTCTCGGTTGTATGCGGAGTCCCCAAGGAACTGACTTATAAGTTGGGAACTAACAACCGTACGAGAGGCTCCAGTGTCTATGGTCAGCTTACACGGCATTCCGTTGATCTCGCCCTTTATGATTAGGCTGTTCCCATCATGGGTTTGTGAGATCGAGATCCTTGGGGCTCTTTTAACATCAGCCAGCACCCGCCCCGCAGTTCTGGCTTTTACTCGTTTCCCTGCTGCTGCTGGGCGACGCTGTTGGCCGCACTACCCTCCTGAGATCGTTCAATTTCCCTTTCTAGGGTTCGCTTAGGGCAGCTGGATCGAAGATGGCCCTTTTCCCCACAGCCATAGCACCTTGGGCTGTATCCTTTGTTGCGGTCGCGAACTGTAGCTGCTGCAACCTCCCTGACGCGATGGGAACGATGATCCTGTCGCACGGCTTCCACTTCCAGTGCATGGGCCAAGGCGTCCTTAAGCGTCTCGTGGTGCCCGAGCCTCACAGCAGCTCTGACTTCCAGGTCGCGGATGCCGTCGATGAATGTCTGCACCAGGTTCCCTTCAATGAGCGCAGGTACAGACCGGTATGCTTTTCGCACCAGCTTCTCCACTTCTAGAGCCCACTGCTGCAGGTTTTCGTTGATGCGCTGCACACGATCTTTAAGCTGCGCACGAAAGACGTGTTCCAGGTGAGCGTCGCCATATCTCGCCTCCAATGCCTCAAGGAGCTGCTCGTAGGTCACTTTCTTACCGAGAGCTTCCAACACAGTTAAGGCTTGGTCACGCAGGCCTAAGGTGAGTGCAGTCATGGCCTGGCTTTTATTCCAGCCGTTTGCCTCCATGACGGCCTCGAACTGGATTTTGTAGGACGACCAGGAAGAGGTCCCGTCGAACGGCGGCACTTTGAATCCACGTAGCGAAGGTGTTGTAGCTACTACGGGAGCTGTTGTTCCATCCCCAAGTTTGAGGTCGTCCAGCGTTTTCTTCACGTCAGCCATTACGTTGTCAACCCGATTGTTTACTTGGTCGATTCGGGTTTCGGCCTCCGACAGGCGGTTGTCATGTTGAGCAACCTTATCCTTCACCTCCCGTATCTCTTTTCCGAAGATAGCGTGAAGGTCCTTCATGAGGAGCATCTGCTCTTCCTTATCGCGTTCTTCTTCCAAACGACGGGCCTGTTCCCCCTGTCGGCGGGCCTGTTCCTCCTGTCCGCCCCGCAGCTGCTCTTCCAATCGGCGGGCCTGCTCCTCCTGTCAGCGAGCCTGCTCCTGCAGCATCACCATCAGAGCACCTAAGTCAGGTGCTGCAGATGTAGGAGCTACCGACGGGCCTTCAGCCAGTGGCTGGCCCTCCGACGTCTGCGGCGTTGCACCACCAAATCTTCTTTGGTCCGTCTCCTGCTGGCGTTGACTTCGGGTACGGACACCCTCCGTTTCCTCCTTAGGTAAAATCGGCATGATTTTATCCCACTTCTGACACCAATTGTTACGAGCTTGAGGTTCGTGACAATAAAAATTGCCGATAAAATTACCTAAATTAACACTTTAATTTACTTTACACAAATTAAAACTTAAAACACTAATAATTAAACACACTAATTCACTTAATTCCACTCCGAAGCTTCGCTTGTTTCGCCCAAATCAACACTGCCTCGATCGCATCTTGCAGCGCCTATATATTTGAATTAGCAAAGAAATATCCAGAATGTTCAAGTAAACACGCGGAAGGTACCGAGCGTTCGAGTTTCGACTAGGCGCTGTCAGTTGAGCGATTTGTGATGTCATTTTCTCAATGCTCCCCTCGCTCTCGTTCCTGACACTAGATGGCGCTAGTTGACTTATTCATGCAACAATATTATAGGCGTGCAGCCGACAGCCGTTCGTAGGTAATTGTGCCAATTCGCGGCTCGCCGGTTTTTACTGGATATAATATTGCAATGATTTATTATATAAGGTAAAAATAAAGGTTTTTCATTACTGCGTTTTATCAGGTTTTACTTTAGTCAGGCATTGTTTTTAAATTTGGCATTTTAAAGTTCCCTTGCATTTCAAAATGGTAACCGTAGATGGGAGATCGCGAGCGAGCTGAGCGATTTAGGCGGCGGCGTGTCGCGGCGCGAGGTGGCGCAGCACGAGGCGGCGGCGCTGGCCGACGAGCAGCCGGAGCGCGCGGAGGCGGCCTTCCTGCGTGCCGGCGCCGCGGACCGCGCCGTGCGCATGTGGCTAGCTCGCGAGCAGCACGCGCGCGCGCTTGCGCTCGCCGAGCGCCACGCGCCGCATATGGTACGCGCGAATTAAGATAATGAACCAAACTTCAATAAAAAATATATTTATTTATTTTGACAGAGTTACAATAAGAAATTTATTACTACAATATTCGATATTAACTGATTATTATTGTCTATTTATACTTAAATTATATGCAACAAAACTATTTACTAAGCTTATTTACTGTATACGCTTGACCCAGATGGGATTGCTGATGATGTGCGAACGAATGAGATTTGGCAGGGGTGCTCAGCCTTAACTCCTCCCCCCTCAAGAGAGAAATTATCCGAAAGTGGCCCAAGCGACTTCGGAGAATTTCGATAACATAATTTGAATTTAAAAATGGTAAATACTATACAGATTACTATAATGAGATATAAACTTATGGTCCATACACTGATTTCACTTGTTACTAAGAATTTTGTATTTATTTGGTTATCACTGAATTTAGCACCATTTATTAGTTCTAGTGTTGCCCAAAATGGGTCTTGGTTTTGCAGTCTTGGTCTTGTTCTTGCATTTTTTCAAGACCAAGACTGACCGTGCAAGATTTGAGCAAGAACAAAACTAAGCCTGCGAGACTCTTGCGTCTTGCAGTTAGGACTAAGTGTCATTTCAGGGAGTATAGGAGTTCGGGTATACGCTTAGGGAGTCTATGAGACGCAAAAAATATACAAAAAAATTTGGAAAATTGGACTTATGCGCATTATGAACATTACCATAAACATACATAGCGGATGAAAATATCCACTAAAAGAAAAAACAGTGCATCCCTAGTTTTGATCATCGGCACTTTGATAGTGCGCGGCGTCTTGTTGTCGGCATCATCAAAGGTCGAATACTGACCTGTCAAAGAAATTTTGCAGCTATTCGGAAGTACAAGGTCAAGATACACGCGCCGGCGGCTACTATTGATATCGCATTCAATCGTCGCCGCCGCGCCGCACGCACTACATTTGACACTGTTTGAATGCCGTCACAGAGTACATGTTCCAAAGAATGAAATAAGTTTCCGGGTGCTCAGAATGGACACGAATACATTATGCTGATCTCGCAAGGAATATTGTAATTAGATAATGGTAAGGATAGGTAGATACCATAATAATTTATTCCAGTAAGTAATTATTATAATATTAACTATATGGGTTTACAATAATTACTTACTATTATTATTATTATTACCTAATAGATAAACATGTTCAATAAGTTCACTGCAAATCTCGATTTTTGGAAGTGTGTGTTTTTGAACACAAAGTGTTCGAATATGTCGTCACCCATTTGATAAATATTGTAGACACTTTTAACACACTTGAAACGTGTAAACATTTTGTACAATGCTAATCGAATAATATAAAAAGTGTGCATATTAAATAAAAAGCGTAAAATAAGATCTATGTACCGTTTAAGAGCCCGAGTATCTCTTAGAGAACCGTTTAAAGAAATTGATTACATCGAATTGATGTAAATAATAGTGATTTGCACAATTTTAATAGTAGAAATAAAAATAAAATCACAATACCTGCTTTCCGGTTACACAAACTATATAATGCGTTCTTGGGTAGAGATATACGCTTTTATAATAAGATTCCAAAAGAAATGTTAGATCTTTCACCTTTTCAATTTAAGTCACACAAAATGCTTGGAACTGACCTCTCGTACTACACAGGACTAACTAGATATTTCTAAACCGATTTGGTATCTACATATACATTTGACATTTTATGTTTGACTTATCGCTTTACATAATTATAGAACTATTGTAAAAATATTTTGAAAAGAGCAACTACTGAGTTTCTTACTTTCTTCCATGATTCATCTCAGTAGAATCAGAACCCCTGGAACTGGAACATGGAAAAGAAAAAATTGGGGAAAACAGTGATTATATGACTATTCAAAAGCGTATTTTTAATGCCTACTTGAACAAAACATATTTGAATTTCAAACGAGTTAAGGCAAATTTAATTTAATTAACGTAGATTAATTCAATCATAAGAAGAACATAATATACACAATTTTATTTACATATTTACATTTCATTTTTACGTAGGCACACTATACCTATCTGGCAACGCATCTACTTTATTAATCTTCCGAAGAAACATTAATTTTATCAAAGGATGCCGAACTTTCCTTTGTCGGTCTTTCAGCGTGTACTTACAAATAGTAGTATTTATTTTAATTCCAGTCATTCCCAATTGAGCTATGCTTCGAGTCTAATGTATTAATTGTTTTTACTCGAATCCTTATTGTGCTTGGAGTGATAAGTTTACAATTTGACATGAGTGGCGAAGAGTTGAATAGTTCTAGTCGGAGTAGTGAGAGTTATAGATCTAAAAGACCTAAAAGTAAATTTGATGAGTTTTTCGACATAATTCATGCATCCCAAATTGCTTTTTGTAAATTATGCCAACATAAAAAGGTTGAATTAAAAATGAAAAACATAAACACTTCAGGCTTAAGGAAGCATCTAATACCTTTCCACAAAAAGGAATCACAAATATTTCTTCCTGAAAAACCAAAATTAAGTGAAGATATCACAAGCTTTTTAATAACCACTGGAAAAAGTGGACAGGTAAGAAGAAATATACTTATCACACAATTACATAACACATATGTAACTAGCGGCCGCCTGCGACTTCGTCCGCGTACAATATCTGATTTCCTATGAGATTTTGAAATTTTCTCGCTGCAAAAGTCTTACCTAAGTATAAAGAGGCTATACAGGTAAAGCTTAATTATGCAAGTATTTATTATTTAAAACTAATAAAGTAAATGTTGATCTTCATATCTATACTTTAAAAATATAGGACTTGCATGTAACCATTTTACCCCAATTTCATCCCCTTAGGGTTAGGATTTCGTAAAACGTAGGACTTTCATACAAACTTCTGACTCCCATTTCACTCCCTTAGGGATAGATTTTCTCAAAACCGTTTCTTAACTGATGAGACACAGATTGGATGGTTAAAAAATATCTTCCCTTCTCATTTTTATATAATATATTTTCGTATTTAGTATATTTTCGATCAATTTGCCCAAATATGGTGTTTCCTAAAAGATCCACACTTAGAAGGAAGGTCAAAGAACGGTTTGAAGAGCTTCAATTGAATCTTAAGAAACGACTACAACAATTTTCATCTAAAATGTCATTTACCATTGATGGTGGACGTCAATTGCTGGTAGGAGTTACTACGGGGTCACTATTCATTATATAGACAACGAATGGAAGTATCGATCAGCCGGGCTAGCATGAGCAGGGGATAAAAATTTTATCCACCGATTATATCCACTGACAAGGGATAAAATTGTCTTCACCCTATGTCAAAGCTTTATCCACCCTGCGAGCATGGGCCTATGGTGGATATAATATCGACAGTAGATAAACTTATCCCCGCGTATAGATAATATACGATAGCAAAGATGTTTTATAAAACATCTTTGTACGATAGTATAAAGCTATAAACTATACTAGCTATAAACTTCTCTTAAGATTAAGTAGATTTACATTAACTTATATTTTCTTTTACCTTTTGTTTATTATATTGCTAAACTGTTAATAATTTTTGTTAAACAATATGTCATTTATAATATTTGTTATATTTATTTTAAGCGTATTTCTGCCTTGTTTTTATTTTTTCTATTATTCTAATTCTTTCTTTATTTTCTTTTGTATAATATTTAAGTTAAGTATACATTGCTTGTATCAAATCGCAGGTGATAGCATTTATTAAAAAATGTGTCTAGAATTAAGCCAATTGCGAAACTGGACAATGCAGACCCTTTGACGATCTTTAGACGATGAGTATGCGCAGGGGCATTGTTCGCGAAGTACTGACTACGCTGTATCGGGCCCGGCGCCGGCGGTACTGGTGACCCAGTGGTGGATTGTTGTTGATAATTATTGCGATGGCTATTGTTACGATTGTTCTTTTGCCTAAATTGGAATGAATTATTTGACGATTTAAAAGAGCGGTTATTATTAACGTAAGGACAAATTGTTCTGATTATTAAATGTATTTGCACTAGATTGATCCGTATGGGGAACATTTCCAGGTGAATAAGTGTGGTTATTGTTAGGACTCGGCCTAAAGTTTGTTCGATTAGACCGTGAATTTTTACTTTCATAAACTGACTGAAAGTTTTGTTCCTCTAAGACAATTTTCAAAGCGTCTTCTAGAGTAGTCACGTTCCGTAATCTCACAAGTCTAACTAAATATGCCGTTTAATTATAAAGAAACGCATTTAGTGAACTATGGGGTCATTGTAGAAGCGTGCTCGTCGCGACCCCTGCCAGCCCTTTTCAGGGCTGCAATTCTACACAGCTGCGCACCCATGCAAACGAAGGTTAGGGCGTCCCCCCAAGGCGACGCACACCAGCTCGTCCCCGTTGGTGTGGAATGCAGCGCGCAAAGCGGCGATGGGGACCGCCACCCGTCACGCACAGTCCGACACGGCGGAAGGTGGAGGACGGAGTGCAGAGTTGGAACGTGGAATGTTAGAGGGGGCATGAGAGATAAGACGAATGAGTTGATCGAAATAATGAAAGAAAGAGAATTAGATGTCGTGTGTATGTCTGAGACCAAACGGAAAGGCAGTGGTACTGAAGAGCTCCCTGGCGGGACGTTAGCTATATGGTCCGGAGTTCCGGAAAGCGAGAACGCCTGCCAGGGAGTGGGAGTGCTGTTGTCGTCCCGGTTGGTCGATCTTATGACTGAATACAAGGTTGTGAACTCAAGACTTCTCTGGGTTCGCTTCAAAATGGGACTGACGAAGTTATTCCTTTTGGCTGTTTATGCGCCGGTAGCTTCGTCGTCCAGGGCTGAGCTGGAGGAGTTTTGGGAGAATGTAAGAGAAGTTCTAGATTTGGTTAAGGGAAACGAAAGAACTGTTGTATGTGGTGATTTGAATGGATGGGTAGGTATCGCTCGACCAGGATACGAGTCAGTGCTTGGAAAGTTTGGCAATAAAAGGGTTAATGATGCTGGCAAGCTTATACTGGCTGTATGCAAGGAAAAGGGTCTTCTTGTGACAAACACTATGTTTAATCACAGGAAAATCCATATGTACACTAGAGAAAGAAAGAATGAGAGAAGTATGATTGATTTGTTCCTGGTGGATGACCGACTGCGAAAACAGGTGATGGATACACGAGTGTTCAGGGGTGCTGACCTGGGAACGGATCATTATCTAGTAATTACTAGATTTAGGGGTTTGTTCGCGGGTTGGCGCTACCGGACGGCAGTAACAGAACCACAGTCGGTCTGTCGCATCCGAAGCTGGAAGCTTCAGGAAGCGGATACTAGGGACAAATATCACACGAGGGTGGCAGAACCTTAGGGATGGAATGGTAAGTGCAGCAGTAGAAGTATGTGGTACGACAAAAAGAGGTAGTAAAAGAAGAGATGCATGGTGGAATGATGAAGTGAGAGAAGCTGTAAAAAAAGAAGAAAAAAGCATGGTTAGACTACTTGGCCTCTAGTAACGATGAGCATATGAGAGAGAAGATATAAGCTGTAGAAAGTTCATGCGAAAACATTGATTGAGGAAGTACGTGAAAGGTGTAGAATGGAAGCGGACGAGAGGTTGTCGCACAACTTTAAGGAAAACTCCAAACTCTTCTGGAAAGAGGTTGGAAGGTCCCGGAGTGGTGCGACAGCCTTAAGAATGAACAAAGTGCTTTCGAGAACCAATGACGTCCTCTCAGAAAAATCGGACGTCATGCAGCGATGGAGTGAATTTTATAGAGAAATGTATGCGTGTCATGATCTTAGTGAAGGATCCGGGGGTGACGCCGTGACTGGCATGCCAGACATGGACCTCGATGACACTGAGGTCATCAGCATGAAAGAGATTGAACGTGTGATTCGAAGTTTGAAATGTGGTAAGGCTGCGGGACTAGACAGAGTTACTGTTGAAATAGTCAAGTACGGTGGGCCTCGCGTCTGGGACAGCTTCCATCTGCTGTGCTATTTGTGCTGGCGGACGGGAGATGTTCCGGATGATTGGCGATCCGCGGTCATTGTGCCTTTATATAAAGGTAAAGGTTCACATTTTGACTGCGGGTGCTATCGGGCGATCAGCTTGACCAGTTTAGCAAGTAAAGTTTACTCGAAGGTTTTGACACGTAGGATGCAAGAGAAATCGGAAAGATTCTTATGGGAGGCACAATGCGGATTTAGACCTGGAAGAGGATGCACGGATCGAATGTTTTCTCTCCGCATGATCACGGAAAAGCTTCTGAGTGTTAACCAGAGGATTTTCTGTGCTTTTGTGGATCTGGAGAAAGCATTTGATAAGGTTATAAGGAAGAAAATGTGGGAACTGTTGCCGGGATATGGTGTGGATGGTCGATTGTTATGAGCTGTGCAGTCACTTTTCTATGACTGTAAAGCCTGTGTGCGGGTAAGGCATGACCTGTTACCCATGTTTAGCGTCCAAGCGGGCGTAAAACAGGGTTGTGTCATGTCTTCCTGGCTGTTCATACTGTATCTCGACAGCTGTTTACAGAAGCTGAAAAATAGCTGTTTGGGTGTGAAATTGGGTGACATAAAAGTTAATTGTCTGCTGTATGTTGATGCAGTGCTTATTGCAGTTGTTAGTTGCAGGCATTAGTCACGTGTATGAAAGAGGAATGTGAAATTAAAGGTCTCCGTTTGAATGCTAATAAAACTAAGGTTCTGGTATTTGAAAAGGACGAAGAGAGAACGAAATGTGAAATATGGGTAAATCAGGAATGTCTAGAACAGGTAAATGAAATTGTATACTTGGGGAGTGCTTTCAGCCGGGATGGAAGATGTGATTTAGATGTGGATAGGCGAGTCGCTGCCGGAAACAAAGTCAATGGTGCCCTGAATGCATTAGTAAAAAGGCAAGGCGTGGTGAAGAGTGCACGCCTTGTAATACATAACGCAGTGTTGGTACCGACTTTGTTATATGGCAGCGAAACCTGGGTATGCCAGAAGAAGCATAAAAGCAAGTTGAATGCAGTGGAGATGCGACCTCTTCGTAAAATGTGTGGCGTTACCATAGCCGACCGAAAGCGAAACGAAGAGATTCGCAATATGGCAGGATTGAAAGATGACCTTATCACAAAAATTGATAGGGGCGTACTCCAATGGTTTGGGCACGTTGAACGAATGAGTGAAGACCGAATGGTGAAGAAAATATATAGAACGAAAGTAAATATTAAAAGGTGTCGAGGTAGACCGAGACTAACTTTCGAAGACCATGTAAGCAAATTGCTCGAAGAGGGGAGGGTCAAGAGTACTCGGATACCTAGACGTGCATGTATGAAAAAGTTAATGAACCTGAAAGAAGCGAAAGAGGTATGTAAGGATCATGACACTTGGCGATCTGTTCTCTCTGGCTACCCCGTTAGGGAATGTTGTGCGTGAAGATAAGTAAGTAAGTAAGTAAGTATTTAGTGAACTATGGTTATAAATAGATTGTTTCGCTAGATGTAAGTTTGGATCGTCAATCGTTTCGCTAACCTTAGAAAATAAGACACTTCTCAAATGTTGTATCCTGTGACAAAATTACTGGTAATTTTCATTACGGTTTAATTTCAAGGATTCGAGTTCCAAAGCCAAACATTCCTCGGATCTCGGGTCACCAAAATGTTGTCTCAGTAATGTTTTTAATTCGTCCCAATTATTAATATGATCCCGTACTCCAACTAGGTTCGCAGCTTCCCCGGATTGAAATTCCTCAATTACTTAACTAATTAGAATAATTAACTAAGTGTGAATTTATCTAGTAATTAGGCGTAATTAATCCCACAAAAAAACCAGAATATAAACACACAAAAAATAAGAAGGGTAGGAAAATACAGATTGGTGAAGAAGATCTACTCACAGTGCTGCAGTTTTCCCCATGCTCCTTCTGGAATATTGGTGCTCCGTCCTTAAAGTTGGTCTGTTCCTTAATAAATTTGTTTGTTCCTTTTTTCCCGATTAAAACGTTAAGACGTACGACCGATTTTTCTGCGAATACTTTTATTCGCCACGAAATAATACTTGGTCTTACGGGTCCCTACCGACTGCGCCAATTAAGATAATGAACCAAACTTCAATAAAAATATATTTATTTATTTTGACAGAGTTACAATAAGAAGTTTATTACTACAATATTCGATATTAACTGATTACAATTATCTATTTATACTTAAATTTTATGCAACATAACTATTTACTAAGCTTATTTACTGTATACGCTTGACCCAGATGGGATTGCTGATGATGTGCGAACGAATGACATTTAGCAGGGGTGCTCAGCCTTAACTCGCGCACGTTTTGCCGTTCCAAAGTGTCACTTGTGCCAAACTTTTAAATCGACACCGTGCGCATGTGGCTAGCTCGCGAACAGCACGCGCGCGCGCTTGCGCTCGCCGAGCGCCACGCGCCGCATATGGTACGCGCGCACGTTTTGCCGTTCCAAAGTGTCACTTGTGCCAAACTTTTTATAATATTAAATAAATCGACACCGTACGCATGTGGCTAGCTCGCGAGCAAATGGCGCGCGCGCTTGCGCTCGCCGATCGCCACGCGTCGCATATGGTACGCGCGCACGTTTTGCCGTTCCAAAGTGTCACTTGTGCCAAACTGTTTATAATATGAAATAAATTTTGTTATTAACCGTAACCGAAGACTTCTTGCTACTAATCTGGCCAATTCAGAACAAAAAAATGTATCACTGATGTGGATTGTGTAAGAACGCCCTACCGCCTGGCGAATAGCTGTCACGGTAAATATTCCACACAGTTGCATTTTCATGTACGACAGTTAATTTATTAGGCAAATACGAAATAAACTTTCATAATTATCAGAAATAAACTTCCAATCATGTTGAAAAAGTGAACATATAAGTTATGACAGCGTTTTCTTGCCCACATTCAACAAAATTAGCGTTAGATTGTCGAAAATAACTAATCTTCACGCCCGTTTGCAGTCAACTGAAGAAGTTACGGAAAGTTCACCGTAACTTAGTGCGCAATATTTTAATACCATTGTGCTACTCTAATAGTATACATAGAAGTCTTTATGTAATATCTGTTTTTTAGTATAATTGAAAAGTCCTTCTGGTTTTGCTCGGTCTTCCCAGGACAGAGGGTTTTCCGAATCCGTTGTAAAAGTAAAAAAAAAAATACTTTCAGTAAGAATTACCAGTATATTGAATTAAAAATTAATCTATTTTATTCTATTCTACTATTCTCTAAGAGTTGAAACATGAATAATTCGTTTAAAGACAAACGATGGGAAAAAAGGTTGTAGAGTAACAGCTTTCTCCAGATAAGCGTATTTATTATATTTTGATAGACAGATCTCCAGTAAGACATGCAGGAAGTCCGATGGATGATTATACCTCAGTATCCTGCTTTATGGGATTCTTGGGGGGTGGTGGGGGGTTAGCGATTTTCTACCGTTAAGCTCGTGAAGTTATGTAACGATGTCGATGCTGATGATGATGAAGGATATTAAAAAATAAATTATGAGACTACCTACCGAATATCTTCGTCATGGTAGGAAGTCCAGGTCCTTTTTTCGAACACAGTCCATCAGATAATAACTGAATGTTATCATAGACACCTCATTTCTTAATTAAGGCTTACTCCTCCGCCAACAACCTTGGGTGTGTGGGCAGAACTCTTAACTGCTCCCCGCACCACCCGCACCTAAAGATCACGTGCACTTTCTTGCTACAAGATAGCCATTTCGTAGGTACGGCAAGCGTATGCCGTATAATTACACGCTGCATAAGGTTCCTATGGGAATCTATCATAATTAATAAATTTATTTATTTTGATAACTTAAAGATATCTGAAAATATTGCTATAGGTCGAGGAGGTGCTTGTGGAAGGTGCACGTGCGGCTGCCGAGCGCGGCGACCTCGCTCAGTTCGAAACGCTCATGATCCGCGCCAACCGACCAAACGACGTCGTGCAGCATTACAAAGAGCTTGGTTAGTGTTACTTGTGTCATAATACCTTTAGATTATGTTAAAGTTGTTTTTACGCAACTTTGCGTAAAAGAGCTGCATCGCTGGTGCGTAGGGTAAGGGCCAGCCCCAATGGCATTCTTAAAATGATAGGTGACATAGTGAACTGTCCCTATCTGCAACAATGTTGTAAACTGCATGTGCCCAGCAGGTAATTTGACTGTTGTTTATGTGCATTACAGCACTTAGTAATAATTAATAGTTTTAATATATTTGTCTCATCATATTTTGTTAGATTGTTGGATTTTAAATTTTTTATTTTTTAAATAATTATAATCTTGTTTCTCAGACTGTGTGAATAACTTCAATGCTATTCATATCAACGTCCAAAGCATTCCGGCTCATTATCCTGACATACTTGCGTCATTTGAATCCCAAAATATTCACGCTATTTTAGTTTCAGAATCTTGACTAAAACCCTGTCTGCCTTCTACTATTTACTCTTTGCCAGAGTTTCATTTAATTAGAAACGATCGCATTAATAGGGGTGGTGGGGGCGTGGCGATCTATCTTAGATCCCACTTTCCATTTAAAATTGTTGCTGAGTATTTACTGGTCAAGGTCTTCCTGTCTCAGAATAAAATCCTTCTTGGAGTATTCTACAGTCCCTCTCTTTCTGTAAACTATTTTACTTCGTTTGAATCTCTTTTGGAATCACTTGTCCTTACGTATAGTCATACTATTTTGATGGGAGACTTTAACACCTGTTTGCTTAACCCTAGAAGCCTAATCTTTCTCAAAGATACATAAAACCTTAACATACGCCTCAGAGGCGTGCATATATAAATAACCATTTCTGGGCAAAAGTATAATTATTTGCGATTTTTTTAAGGACCCGTATGATAGGCATTTATTCTAGTAACAAAACACAAATTCATTAATGAAGACTTTAATCACAGCTATTTATATTACAACAAAATAGAACAATCTGCTAATATTCGTACAAAAAAGTAACTTCTGATTAATCAACGGTAACATTATTTTTTTTAAATATCTTATATGTTTTTTTACTATTTAATGACTTTTTATTAGCACAATTATTAAATTAAATCAGATTTTCACAGACTAGCTTAAAGCTTAGAGCAGTCTACACACACATAAATTTTGTGCTCGCAACATACTGACTTCTTGTACTTATAACACACTAATTTAGGCATTCTCTTTTATTGTAAGAGCAAAAGGCGCAGCATTTACGGTTTTTTGGCTCAGGTTTTCCCTTCTGAACCTCATTACTTGATCAGGAGATTTTACGAGAATATGGCTTATGTTTTCTCGTAAAGATCTTTTCAAAGTCGGCACTTCAAGTCTCATCTCCATTCAAGGCTTGGCCAAATCTGTGTTGAGCTGCTTCATGAACTTTCTTCTATTTAGGTTTTTTTTTATTGTTCTTGATCATATTCATTGCTGAAGTTCTCTGAGATGATTGACACTTGGTAGTCGACCAAACATTCGTTCTAACTGCGAAGTGTATTTCCGGAGACACGACGTATAAGTCTTGAGCTGTCAAAACCCAAGACTTATAGGTTGAAAATGAGCAAGAGTAGATGGGTGAGCTGCTGCAGCAGTTGTTGAGAGAGTTTCTTCAGTGGAAGCAGATCGTAAAGAGAAGATCTCTTCAGTAACATAATCGTTCTCGTCTTCACTTAGAACATCATCCACAGCTTGATGATCCTCCTCTTCCGACGCTGAACCTCTCAGAGGACCATGTTTTTCTTCGTCTAAGATCGCCAAAACATAGGCACTGTTCAGCCGTTTTGATCGTGACATATTTTATATAAAACAACGTCAATATAAACATAAAAACGCAAAAAACTAACAATAGCGTAATCACACAATCTAAGTTAAAAGTTACACAAAGCCTAAATATACGCCTCGCAGGCGTACTACATGTTAATAAGTCGAAATCGGCGGGACTTACCTTAGCAGTACGGCCACTATCAGCAGGCTCTAGGAGGCCACTTAGTTGGCTAAGCCGCACAAATCGCCAACTTCACCCGTTATAAAAAGATAGACAGTTTCCGAATGCGTGTACGCCTCGCAGACGTAGATAAGGCTTCTAGGGTTAAAGGCGACAATCGGGGTATAAAACTTAAGTCTATTATTGAAGCGTGTAATATGCAAATCCTACCCCTTTCTGCTACTCATAACTTTCCTAACTTTACTCCTTCCCTTCTTGACTTAATAATAGTGTCATCTTCAACACTAGTTTTCAAACACGGACAGTGTCCTGCTGATGCATGCATCACGATTTAATTTTCCTTTCGTATAAACTATGCCCTCCTAAAATCAAACCTAAATTAGTTCTGCGACGTAATTTTGGAGGAATGGATATTGACCAACTTTGTGAAGATGCGCGTAATATTGACTGGTCAATGATGAGAGAGCATCTTGCATTGATGATAAAGTTGAACTTTTCTGTTCCCTACTTACTCAGCTTTATGACATTCACGCGCCAATGCATTATGTGAAACTCAAACATTTACCTGCTCCATGGCTCTCTGATGATCTGAAAAGTCCTATCTTGAAGAAAAATATGGCATTGTCAAAGCTTAAGAGGAATAAAACCGAGGAAAACCAAAGGAAATACGCCAAAATCAGGAATCGCTGCAATACATTATGTAGAGATGCACAACGACGCCATATTCATACATCAGTCGAGAACGGCGACTCATCTAGGGTGAGGAAGTTTCTTAAAACAGTTGGAGTTGGAAGAACATCCCTAAATGATCCGCCTCCTAGTGTTGAGGTCGAACTATTAAATCAACATTTTTCTAATCCTTCTAACTCTTTTGATAGTGAACATAAACGGCAAACACTTCTTTCTCTTTCTGTAACTCCGACTCCTAATTATCTTCCGTTCGCTTTTAGTCAGTTTACTGTATGTGATGTTAAGAAGATCATATTATCCATCTCCTCAAATGCTGTCGGTAGTGACAACATTAGCCGTAATATGATTATTCCTCTCCTTGATGTTATCGCACCCATTATTACCTATTTACTTAATGCGTGTGTATCTTCGTCTAAATTCCCTCAAGCCTGGAAGAGTGTACATGTTATACCTCTTCCGAAGAGATCCAATTCCGTCAACCTTTCTGATTTCCGTCCCATCTCGATTTTACCTTTCCTTTCTAAAGTCCTTGAAAAACTTATTTGCCAACAGCTGACACTTTTACTTAATAAGCACAATTTGTTGAATCCTTTACAATCCGGTTTCCGTCCTGGTCATAGTACGGCTACTGCCTTAATTAAAGTTACTGATGACATACGGTGGGGTATGGATAATAAACAACTCACTGTCATGACCTTGCTGGATTTCAGTAATGCGTTCAATACTGTTGATTTCGATATACTGTTGAGTCTATTGTGTTCCCTTAACATATCTCCATCAGTAATTAACTGGTTTCAAAGTTATCTCTGTGGCCGTCGGCAGTGTATTCGTGTCGATGAAACTCACTCACCTTGGTGTGATATTACTGCAGGCGTGCCGCAGGGTGGCGTGTTGTCACCTTTACTCTTTTCCATTTTCATTAATTCAATCACTCATAAATATCTTCTCTTTACCACATGTATGCGGACGATGTTCAGATTTACACCCAGTCAACTCTTGAGGATTTGCCGAATGCAATTGCTACATTAAATAACGATTTAAATATTATTCATGAGTGGAGTAAGTCATACGGCCTTAAAGTCAATCCCAAAAATCACAGGCCATCATTATTGGTAGCCGGAGCTTTATCTCAAGAATTGACTGGTTCTCCGTACCACCTATCGAATTCGATGGAGTTGTAATCCCTTACTTTGACAATGTCAAAAATCTTGGTATTTATCTCGATAATTCCTTAAATTGGACACGCCAACTGAATGAGGTAAGTAAGAAAACGTATGTCACTCTTTGTTCTCTGCGTCGCCTTCGATCATTTCTTCCCATTCCTACAAAAATTATGCTCGCACAGTCTCTTCTCCTTCGGATTCTCGACTATGCTGACGCAAGCCATGTAGACATAACTGAGGACCAGCTAAATAAGCTTGAGAGACTTCAAAACACTAGTATTCGGTTCATATTTGGATTGCGCAAATATGACCATATTTCCCAATTTCGCTCACGTCTCAAGTGGTTACCTATCCGACTTCGCCGGAATATGCATATTCTTTCCATTCTGTACTGTGTATTATTTCACCCTTCTACACCTCCCTATCTAAAGCAGAAGTTTCATTTTGTAGGGCTTCCAGGAGAACCTCTACGCTCTACAAGAAAATTCATTTTAAGGGTTCCAACTCACAATACTTCCTTTTTTTAATAAATCTTTTACTGTCCAGTCTATAAAGCTCTGGAATGCCCTACCGTTGCGTATACGTGAAGCACAAACTATTGTTATGTTTAAGCGACTACTTAAAGAGCATTACTTGTAATGATTTCTTATATTTACGCGAACACTACACATTGAAATAATACTAGTTTTTACGGAATTTATCGCGTATATTTAACTTTTTAAATACCCGACGTTTCGAACGCTTTTTCGATATTTTCGATTATATTTGCGTAAATGTGTAAGTTTGTTTATATAGTAAGTTATTTTATTGCATGTATCGTCTATAAATTGCATGTATTGATATTATATTTTGTATAATTATATTGCACTACTTAGCTAGTTTTCATTGTTCTAATCCTTTACAACTTTGGTTGCCTGGAAGAGATCGCTATGTAGCGATAAGGCCGCCAAATTGTACTTACATGTAATAATCTGCTTTTGTTTTGTTATCTGTATATTTGTTTGTGGTGTACAATAAAAGTATATTCATTCATTCATAATTTGAAAAACAAATCTAATGTAATAAAAATGAGTATACTTGTACACTTGAAATTAAATAAATAATGAAAAAAATAATAAAGTAAGTCTTTTAAGGACGACTATATAGTCCGAAAACAGAAAATCGATGGGGAAGAAAGGTAAGTGGAGTGTAGGGCGGCTATACACTAGATGTCTCTTTACAGTGGACTTGTGAAGGGCTTTATTGAAAATTATAATGATAATAATTATTGCACTTGTAAGCTCTGTAGTATGTACATTAACTCTTGAAAAAAATTGGTGTTATAGAGATGTGGGAAGACGCGGCACGAGTATCTCGTGAGTATTTGCCTGATAGCGCTGAGCCTGTGCCACCAGCGGTGCCTCCTTTACTACAACGAGCAGCCGACCATGCTGACAGGTGACTAAATAACTTATGACTTAAAGCATTCCTGGCCTAACCTATTTATAAAGATAGATTATCGCTTTCTTAATTTAAGTAGATAATATTATTTATTTATATCTGTCCCTTTCTATTGTCATAATATTGAAAGTGATAGAACAACTTTAAGCATTTCTAAAGCTGATGTCGACTTTATTAGTATGGACATTAGTAATTAACTATACTACTTTATTACTTATTTTGTTACTTTATTGTGTCAAATTTTATCAAAATAATTCCGCCTAGCAGGTAAAAGTTGCTATCAATGCTGACGAACAATAATTGACTTAGCAAAAGGTTACGTTGGAGACAACGGAATTACTATGAATTCAAAATCTACATAACAAGCTACTATTTCCTGTTAAGGGTTCTTTTCTGTTTTGGATTCAATTTTAGTATGTTTGCCTTACTTATTTTAACCCCTAAGCAGCTATACGTCCACTGTTGTAAATCAGTTAGGTAAGGCGTCAAGCTATAATTGCCTTTGAATTTTTTTAACGTGGTAGAGCCACGCTACAGCTAACCGGGGCAAGACCACGGTCTCATAGAATACCAGCGTAAAATAGCAGCGTAATGTTGCTGCGTTTCGTATGTTGAGTGTAGAGAACCAGTGACCCTTTTACTGGAATCGAGGCATTCTATCTTAGTCCTCAGAGGGTGATAATGCATTTGCATTTTGATCCTTAGTTGAAGTTATCATCAGGTGGAATGTGTGCTCGTTTATCACCCAATGCTATAAAAATGCAAAAAGATGCATACCACGATTGTTTCCCTGCCTTAAAAAGGTATCCGTGAGTATTTCACATTATATTGTATAGGCCCTTTTCTCTCTTGCGTATTTTTGCTGTTACACATCACGTTACGCTATTACTTACACATATAAGAGCCATGCTGAAGCTATATTAAAGTTGTAGCCGAATAGCTTCATGGCTCGATCGGGGATGAACCACGCTTTCAAAGAATACCAGCGTAAAATAGTACAGCATAATCTTACTATTAGGTGGACTCGTTAGTCACCCTTATTCTATAAAAAAAGTTGTGTCTCGTTTTCAAGGATTAGGAGGAGAGTATAATGAGAGACTGTAAGGCAAATCATTTTTCAGAGGTGACAATGCGTTTGTAGCCTTCGTGGTTTAAAGTTTTGCAGAAAGTTGCAGGCGTCCCCGACTGCAGTAGACACTTATTTTGTCTGTTAGCTCAATTGTAAAACTGTGACAGGGGAGAGTGGTGGGAAGCGGTGCAGCTGCTGCTGGGCGCCAGCAGCGCGGGCGCGGCCGGCGGTGCTGAGCGGCTCGCGGAGCGTGCGGCGCTGCGGGCGGCGCGCCTCGCGCGGGATCACTTGCAGGGGGCTCGACGCCGTGCCGCCGCTGACATGTTGGCCGATAGGTAACACCGTCACAGAATAAATGGCTGCGTTTGGCAGAAAAAAGCGCTTGTAAGCAAAATGGCGATCGTAAGCGGTAAGCGCTGTCAAATGGTAAATAGCTATTTTCCTCTAGGACACGAAGTTAGCTTTCAACGGGAAACCTAACGTAATTTAAATATATGTTTGTAAAGTATTCATATTAAAAACTTACCAATCATGATATTTTTATAACAAGTATATGTTTATTCATGTCATTATATTACTTGAAACTAATTCCACAAAACAACTTATAAACTCTACTTCAAAACAAACAAAATAAATAAGCAAAATGGCGGATTGTGTCAGCGCTACTGAAGTTAGCGAACGTGTCCTGGCCGAAAACTGTATAGTTTCGCCATTTTGCTTACAAGCTCTTGCTAGCGCTTTTTTCTGCCAAACGCAGCCAATTATAGTACTACATATGAAAGTTGAACTCCTTAATGTTCACTACTTGGCGGCGTTTTAACAGCTTACATAATTATTATTTAAATAGATAAATCAAGAACGCAAGCTAAATTAAACCTTATAACTGCGCGCGAGTATCCGTCTCTGCATATTTCCCCTTCCTACGTCACCAACCTGATTCCTGGTTACCTAGGGCTTTCAACAAAGAGTAAAAATACAGTATACTATCTTACTTTAATATACTGCCTCGTTGGTTTAGTGGTTGTAGTAATGCGACTACTGATCATGAGGTCCTGGGTTCGAATTCCGGGTCGGGCCAAAAAATCAATTATTGAGTTTTTCTGCCAAGAAGTTCTCGGTAGCTGCCCGGAGTCAGGAAGTTGGCGGTGTCTCACCCCCGTGCCTCGGAAAGCACGTAAAGCCGATAGTTCTGCGCCTGATCTCTCTCCGGTCGTGTCGGTTTACCGTCCCATCGGGTTATGACAGTGAGGGAATAGAGAGTGCACTTGTGCTTGCGCATACGCTTGGGCACTATGACCTCGAAATTCGGTGTGGAGGACATTATTATTATTACTTCAATATAATGTCTTATGTTTTTTACCGTCTCCAAGGGAAAAACTCTTAATCTAAGGTAAAATTTTAAGTAAATATTAGAGGGAAAAATTGACACGGAGTGATAAATTAATATTCGTTAATTATTTTATTAAATTATTTGCTGGTTTTATCATTATTATGTTTCGAAAATTGTTGACACATAAATAAGACTAAAACATGAACAAGTATTTTGTCCTATAGCTAAATATACTATACAAAAAACAAAAACGTTTATTCAAGTATTTACAAAAGAATTATTTACGTAGACAGTGTTAAAAACTTAGAAATTCACTAGTACGCCGCTTGCCTAAAACGCGCTAGCCTTTACTGCGTATGTAACCTGGGTTTGAGCGCGATTGTAGGCATTTATTTTACGCAGGTAGCGAAAGTGACAGAGGCCTGACACCGCTATTGCCACTTATACGACAATGAACTCCTTACACAAAGACACCTTACCATTGTAAAGCCTAGTATTTAATTGTTTAACCATAAACAACCATCTCCTCATTTCCACGCTGTAGTTATATTATGAGTGTGGAACGAATAGTTTGGCTAGTTTAAGTAAGGATCCCACTCTAGTAGAGTACCAGTGTAAAATAGCAGCATAATGATGCTGTTATCTATCGGAGCCACCGAGATCTTTCGGATGTTTTTTTTATAGGATAGGGTGACAAACGAGCACACAGTCCACCTGGTGGTGGTGGTTGCTGTAGCCCATAGACATCTACATTTATCCTCGATTAGGAATCAAAATGCGTTGTCACCCGTGAGGACTAAGATGAAATGCCTCATTTCCAGTAAAAAGGGTTTCCGGTTCTCTACACTCACCATACGAAATACAGCAGCATTAAGCTACTATTTTACGCTGGTATTCTGTGAGAGGATCTTGCTTTCCGGTATATAACTGCAGCATGGCTCTACCACGTAAAAGTAAATTCTCTTAAATCGTCACAGCTACGTGGCATGTGTAAGTTGGTTCATCACCATCACTCTCATAATTTTCGTAAGGTTTAAAAGTTACAGCCTATATACTAAAGTTGTTCAAAACGACTATAAATCAATAGCACGCTACAGACTATAAACCAGAAATTTCTAGCGTGCTATTAAATACGCTATGTTATAGCGCGCTATTTATAAAAAAGTGTGTAGGAGGCCGGCAAGCGCGTTAAGTTTAGCAGCACGCTATATCTCGGAGCACGCTACATTACATGTCGTTCATTGGATAGACCGCGTGCTATATAAGAACATTGTTTCGTAATAAGTCGCATTTTAGATTAAAATAAAATAAAGTGGTAAAGAAAAATTAAAGAACGCTCTTTCGTACTTTTTAGACTTTTTATAATCTTAAAAATATTTTTAAGGACAGTCCTTAAAAATATTTTTAGGATTATTTAAAACAAAATAAAATCAATCATTTTTTATTATAATTGATGTGAACGTTATTTTAACCTTATTATAAATTATAACTCAAAGGTGTATTTAAAAGTTTATTAATTGTATATACAAAAATCAACTATTTACAAATACTATTATATACACTTTTGCATCTATATTTTATTTACATTTAAAAACATTAGTTAGGCTTCTTTTGTAGCAGACAACTGTGTCCTTCGATCACTTATAAATATACAGTACACACGAACTAAATAACGTCTAACACTAAATTAGTTCGCGCGCGATGAATAGCGTGCTGTTAAATTAAATTTGCGTCACACGTCTACTCCCAACAGCGCTGCTGCTAGAACTAATTGCCGCTTGATATGAATAGCGCCAAAGCGTCATATCGTCATAGCGCCATGGCGACTACTTACATAGCACGCGCTATGCGTTATGAAGAGATAGCGCGCAATAATATGGCGCTATGCGCTATATTAACCACGATTACTATATACGTCCCACTACTGGGCATGGACCTCCTCTAATTTCTGAGAGGGTTTCAGGGCAAGGAAGTGTCCGTCGCGCTGCCCCAATGCGTGTTGGCGAACTTCACATGTCTTATATTTTTTTTTCTTATTCCTCAGACATGCAGGTTTCCTCACGATGTTTTCCTTCACCGCCGAGCACGTGGTAAATCAGCGCTTAAAATTGCAATTAGCAATTTCATTGGTGCCAGCGGAGATAGAACCCGGGTTACTCGCGTTCTGTTACATTTACAGCGAGCGTTAACCATCTGAGCTACCTCAATCCACAATTTTTTTTCTATTTAATGAGTTTCATATCTTTCATAGCTTCATAGCTTCAGCAAAGCCGACGAGGAATGTATAAAGTCAATTTAATGTTAAAACAGTAACTACATATTATTAGTTTTATTAAAAAAAAAAAAACTTCTATATATAATCTTCGTAGGTTTAACGCCATTGGACAAAGTGAAGTCGGGGAGCAGCTGCGAGCTGCGTTATCAGAGGCAGACGACGATAATGCTCCAGGTAACAAAGTTAACGGTGCAGTGTTGTGTGTGTGAACATTTTTACAAAATATTACGTTTATAATTTCAAGTACAATTGCCGATTGCGAGGGCTAGTGGTTAAGAATGTACACTTGATTTATATTTATTTATTTTATTAATAAGGCACACAAACAGGTTGAAGACAATACAAAACACATTTACTGTAACAAAAATATTATAACTAGTCTATAATCCAATAAAGTGTGCACAGCGAAACAAAATATGACGACAAGTATGACAGAAAAATAAACTAATAATACATAGTACTAGTGACAGTTAAAAAAAGAACTTATTTAATGATATTCGTGAATTTTACATATTTAACGTAGCAATTACGGATCTTCTAAATTGTCAAATATTGGAATTAAAAATGTGTAGATCAGCGTTACGATGTCTCAGCTCGTCAAAATTTCGACACATTCTAACGACTGGATCTATAAAGGAATCCATCGAACCTAATCTGATCTTTATTCCAGATTTGATTTCATAAGAATTAGATACAACTATTGAACTATGTATAGGCCTATATTCTGAGTTTATCTGCATTATGGAATACGAACGAAGGTATTTGCATTAGTGAAAGTAGAATAAGTGACAGTTTAATGGGCAATGGAAGTGGCAATGAACGGCCATATTGCTCAAAGAACCGACAAACTATAAACAAGGAAGGTTCTTTAGTGGTAGTCTGAAACCGATAAAAGGAGTATAGGGCAGTCTCATCAATTAATCGGAGTGGCGAACGCACTCCGGCGATGGATGCAGGCGGCTTATTGTCGTATTTCGTAGCAGTCATCGGAAGAGGCTGCTGAAGAATTGTGCTGATTATGCTGATGTTACAGTTGGGAATATTTTGTGATATGTAAGCGCCGAAAATACGCTATCAAAAGAAATAGACCATTATTAGGACAGCAATAGAAATGTAACGGGCTCACAGAGTAAGGAAGCAAACAATGCTAATTTATGCATTCTATATGAATACAAATAATTGTCCAAATAAATGTATTGGATGGTGTCAGCGAAAATTACAGGAAACATGCTTTTTATTATGGCCTTGACTGCAAGGCCTTTAGTCGAAAAGAATATATCAAATGCTAAAATAAATTTTATAAAATATAAACATGATTCACAATAATTAATTTAGATGGCGAGTTATTCGAGAGATTTAGGTGGCAGCTTAAGCCAGCAGACGGTTGAGGAAGAACCAAGAACAAAATAACTTGAGGCTTATATCACCATCGTAGTACTTGTTTCATCGTTTTCTAGCTAAAAGTTCACATTAATAACTTCAAACCATTAAATGATAATACAGGAGCAACAATCCACCAGCGGTAAAGTTTCCGCAAAAAAAATTGGTTGATCCCGCAGACCTTCCCTGGAACTTCCCGCTAATTTCAAATGCAAAGCGCTCCAAATTTCACCAAATTATGTTGCGAAATCTCGAAGTTATGTTAAAAAAAACCGTTTTTTTAAATTCTATCTCCTTCGAAATCTCACGAACGAATGAACCGATTTTTATTTTCCAAAGGGCATTCAACGTCATTTTTTGAGGTTAAGAGCTGATTAGTTTTTGAAATCGATCGGTAAAGCCGTTTACAAGTTATTCTAAAAAAAAAAACAGTTTTTCAAAATCTTTATTTTTGAGATTTTTTAAAATCTACTCGTCCGAATCAGTTATATTATCACTAAATCTATTCCATATTGAGATCTTTAGAACGCCGCAAACCGCATCTCAATCGATCAAGACGTTCAAAAGTTATGAAAGGTTTACATACTTACACACACGTGTGTGTGACACATACATGCATACATCCTTACGGACGTCCACGTGAAATTAATCAGAATAGCTTCCTGGGATCTCAAAACATCGAGATATGATGAAAACTCGTTTTTCGGAAATCAAGGTGAAACCAAAAACTTCCCTATTTTTGAAAATTTTCAATTTTCTTTGCGGGAAGTTAAAAAAAAACTTGCAGGAAACATGTGGTAAATACAGTAAGTATTGGATACCCGATACTAACTGTATTTGGCAATGCCTCCTGTAATACCTAATACTTAATGTATTGGGTACAACCTTGTTGTTTTCGTGTTTGTATACGCGATAATTTATCATGAGGTCCCTGGCTAGGATATTGGAACGGGACCAAAATCAGTTTTAGCGGTGTTTTATCACCGTGCCACGGAAAGCACGTAAAGCCGTTGGTTCTGCGCCTGATCTTTTTTCAATCGTGTCAGATTGCCGTCCTATTGGACTATGAGAGTAAGGGAGGGAGATAGAGAATGGCGCACCTGTGTTTGCGGACACGCTCGTGCAGAATAAGAAATTTGTTCTGGAAGACTTATACCTAGACTTAGACCTATTATTATTGGGTACATGCCTCCCGTTATTTCCGCTGACACCACCGTGTTCAATTGCTTGGGGAAAATCGGCGTCCAAACAGGTACGAGTGCATCGGAGTACGAGGAGGAGGCGGCGAGATTGGGAGTGCGCGAGGTGGGCGCGGAGGAAGAAGCGGAGGCAGAGGCGGGCGCGGGAAGCGCAGGCGTGGCCCTGGAGCGGCTGGCGCGCGCTGGACACTGGCAGCGCTGCCTCGCGCACGCTGCGCGCGCCGCTCCGCACTATGCGCTGCGATACGCCGCGCACCTCTTCAAGACACATCCTGTACGTACCGATTCTTTTGTTTTTCCTTATGTTTAGAGTAAGTTGGTGCAAAGGTTTGTACAGATGTGTGTCAAACTTTTGCGTATGAAACTCAAATCAACAAAGAAAGAAAGACTACGCACGTCAAACCAAAACCGTGATCAACTTAAAATCTTTTGCAACCAACAACTTTTAGAAGCATATATCTGCGTACAGCGGTAACCTTTTACGTATTGATAAAGAACGAACGAAGAAAGTTGTGTGATTGAGAGCGTGTCAAGATGTTGAGAATGGTTACGCTCCGTCTATCTTTCATTGTTGATCTGAAATTAAATATAGAAATTGTACACAAATTTACACAACATGCATAACCATTTGAAAATCTATAAATGTATACAAAGTCTCATAATCATGTGCATAGTTATAGCACGAACGGGTTGGCTCGACCGGGGTAGGACCACGCTCTCACAGATTAGCAGCGTAAAATAGTAGCTTAATGCGGCTGTGTTTCATATGGTGAGTGTAAAGAACCGAAGACTCTTTTTACTGGAAACGAGGCCAGAAGAGAGTCCTTGCGGGTGACAACGCATCTGCAGTTTGATGCGTAATCGAGGATAGATGTAGATGTCTGTGGGCCACAGCAACCACTTACCATTAGGTGGACTGTGTGCTCGTTTATCACCCTACCCTATAAAAATGCGTCATTATTGTCTGTGATCTTGTGAATAATCCATAACGACAATTATTTTATTAGTGCAGTTGGCCTATTTTGCCTCTTTATTTAATATCTTCTGGTATATAACATATTACAAGGCAACTATCATAAAGTAGACCATAAGTTTCGAACAAAATGTATTTGAATGAGCTTATTGTATTGATAGGTATAGTGTTTCGGGAAGAGAGACAACATTATTTTCGGTCATTGATGTGCGTCAAAAATACAGATTGGCGTGAGAAAGTTTTTCAAAACTGTGCAGAGCACAGAAATCTAATTACCTTATTATTTGGATTTCTGTGGTGCAGAATCATATACAAATACTTTCCCACAATTGTGAATTCGTACATTTGTAAGTGATCGGTACAACGTCGGTCATTCACTCATTCATTCATTCCTTCCTTCCTTACATCTGCCAGAAGTGGAAATTGTGAAGTCTTGAGTAAAAATAATATCATCAATTAATAACATTTCCAGCGTACTGAAGGCATTGACATAGAAAGTGAGGATGTACCCGAAGCGCTATCCTTGACACTGGACGCACTCCGCCAGTATCTCGTAAGCGACAGTGACGCTACTGTACAAAATAGCGATGCAGCGCTGGCTCGGGCTGTTTGCAGCGAGCTCCTTGTCCGTGTGTCAACGGTACCGCGAGCGCTTCAAGCGCTGAAAGATGCCGCGGCGGTAATGCTAGCGGCGGGGGCCGATGATAGGTCACTTCAGGTAAAGTCTTAGTGAACATTACTTGGTACCTTAGGTATTATAGTGTAAGGTTGGTACTTGACATTTGGCAATTTATTTAATATTAAGAAAAGATAAGATAGAACAGAGTTAGGCGTTTAAATAACGTATTAATTTAAATGTCATCATAAACGGAAAAATATTCCACTAAGCCCATTCTTCGATCATGTCAGTACCTATTTTAAAATTTTTAGTAATTTATTTTGGTTTAAGAGGGCATATGCGTTTCGCGTCGAAAACTACATGTTTTATGGTTTTTCCAAAGGCGATATCGTAACGACTTGAGGAGATTATTTGCTGAAAATTAGGGCTTTAGAAAGATGAAGTCTTTATTTAGTACATAGCAATGCAAAATCATAGTTTTTAATGATTGTCTTTTAGGGCGAAGACAATCCCTTCACAGTGTTTTACGAAAATATGCATAAGAGTTATCTTTCAGGTTGAATACAACCATTATTATAAGCTAAAATACTTTATTTTAAGCGTTATTATAATGGAATATATAGTCTTTTAGTGTATAGCAAAACCTAAATTACGAAAATATTTCGATTTCATATTACAAAATAATATTATAAAATCACCAAAACTGTCTACTTCAATGTAATTTTTTTCATGTATTTGCTTATAAACATATCTATTTTAATTATTTTATCAAAACACATGTAATGTTAAATATCCAAAAAAATTTTAGCTCGTTTTATTTTGTCAATTATTTTATATAATTATTTTAAAAATACTATAAAACATCATGCGCAGACGCCGTTCGATTCAGTACGCTCCGGGTAATCCCAACGACAGGACGTATTACTTTTTCTCACCGACACCGCGCGATCGCATTGATAAACCGATAGGGCTATACTACACCATACTATAACTAGATACCTATAACACCATCGAGCATTTTAAACGATTGACACTTTTATAAGCGATATTTTTGGTAGTAAGTAATTTTGAAATATGTTTATGATTGTAATATTTAAATATTAAATGATGTAATGGTGGCAAATTTTCATTTCATACATATTTTTTAGAAATGAGTAATGAACGTAAGCAATTCGGATCAAGTAAAAATACAAAATCTTTGGCTTTCCCCTTTGGCTCCGTGGCGGAGTGACTTGGTAATGAGTTGTAGCGCTGAGCGCCGCAGGTTCGAATCCCAAATGTAACAAAAATTTGTATTACCTGGATGTTTGTCCTTGTGAAATTAATATATTTAAACTTCCCCAACGATGTACTTAGGAAAAATTCCTAATGTGCAGATAACGTTATGATTAAACAAAGACATGCCATCAAAATCATAACTTGTAAAATAACCAAATCTCTCAATTATAATACGGCGGTGCCGCTGTTTTGCTCGACTTGGCGGGGGCACTTCCTTGCCACCAGATATAAAACAGAGCCGTGCTTGAGTTGAGTAGCTCAAGGGCGTAGTGCTCGCCGTAAACGCGAACAATCCGGGCTCGATCCCCGCTAGTATTGCCAGGTGTCCCGATTTGCGCGGGAAGTCCCGATTTTCAAGGGTCTAGTGACACGTCCCGGTTAGGGTTACCATCTGACCGGATAAAGCCGGTCTAGACGGATTTTTACGTGTTAAACCGGACTCCGCCCGGATTTTACGTCAGACCGGATTTTTGTCATACTTGCATGTCCTCCCGCCCGCTCAAGCGACGGATGCCTCACGCCAGGGTTGCCGTTCTACAAATTTTAAAGTCCCTAGACTAACAGAAAAAATCCGCCAGAAACAGGATTTTTCTTTTTCTTAAAAGCCGCTAGATGTCCCTAGGTATATTTTCGTGCTACCATTGGGCTTACTGAAAAATCTTGCCAAATGGTATAATATACAATGAATACCGAAAATCTAAATGTATGAATTCAGAAAAACCTTAAAAAGAGCGGACTCTATTTCATATAAATCAGTTATTTATAGTGTAGGTTAATGACATGACATGATAAAATAAATCTTTCATCTTTAAACCACGTTTAAACATTAGTCATCTTACTAAAAATAAAACAATTAGCTCAGTACGTTCTTGTACCTAAATTTCAAAATTAATAGCGAAGTATGGATCCAGATCTTCAAAAAGAACTTCAGCGGAAGTTGAAGCTTCGCCAATGTATCCAGTTTCCATCTTTGCTTTGCCGTTACCGACTTGGTTGACAACATCTTTAGGAATATCATACGTTGCGCAATTCTTTTTTTAAATCCTTAACTGATTTCTTATAAGAAGAATTTTAAAGTTTTTTCCGATAGCTTGTTTCGCAATTTGCTTTTAACTAGATTCATAGCACCAAATACGCGTTCAAATTCTGCATTTGTGTGCGGTAGTGATATAATTAGATATTATTGCAAAATTACATAAATCTTCGAATATGTTTACTCCTGCTGCATTTTTATATGTCGAAACAGATGAAAGTGAATGAACGACATTGAATTGTTAGTTGATGTTTGGGAATTCCCGTGAAACGGCTCTCAATAAAGCATAAAAAGGCTACAAAGAACCTATATTTTGTAGTCATTGTAGTTGTCCGGATATGAAAACCAAATCCCCGATTATTTTTACCTTCCGTCCCGAAATTTTACTTGCTAGACCTGGCAACACTAATCCCCGCCGACACTAATGAAATTGTTAGTTTGATGAATTATGTTTACATTATGAAACAGAATAAAAGTTTATCAAATGATATAATATATTTTATACAATACATAATTTTCAATTAGAACATATACATATTATAATATACTCAATTTGGTGAAAATGTAAAGCCGACTTCAATTTACTAAAAAAATAAAACAATTTCCACATATTAGCCTCCAATTTCTATACACTATATAAGCCATTATATGGAAATTATTTTTTTATTATTTTAGTTCCAATAGTATCAAAGACAGGTATATAATCAAAGATCAAAGTGATTCGTAGTCGTCGTTAGGCAACTATTATATATAGCCTTACGCTCGCCCTGACACGCACACAGAGATAACATTGTAGTGTGCGTCAATATTACGCCGTTCCAAAGCGATCGCGTAGATTTCGACTCGGACATATATGAATATGCGCTCTTAATGTTAGTTTCTTTAGCTTGGTAAGTAATAAATAACCAGGGGCGGAGCATGATTTGAATAAGGTGGAGGGCAAGAGGAATTCTGACGACGAACAAATATTTTCAATTATATTGTATTTGCATTTCCATTACAACCTACAGTCACGAGTCCACTGCTGAACATAGAATTTCCCCAACGACTACCACGGTCTTGAGCCATCTAAATATAAGGCCGGGAAAAAAGTTTCTTCGTATTTTATATACAAATAAGACATTTATTTTACAAAGTTTAATTACATTTAGTTATAATATATTCCTGCCATTTTGTTTGGTAACTTGTCATCTTGTAGGTAGTGTTTTTGATAAAAAAAGAGACAAGTAGTATCGACAGTCCTCTCTTGATGTAATGGACGCCACACACGGATAGTTCAACTGATCATTCCAACTGATCAGTAACTAAAACTGTTGATATTTTTTTAAATATTGAATTTTCGATATATCGATAATTATAAATATATCAATATCGGAGTTTTATATATAAGTTTATATATCGATATATCGAAAATCCAATATTAAAAAAATATCAACAGTTTAATTTGAACCGATCAGTTGGAATGATCAGTTGAACTGACCGTATGTGGCGACCATTTATCTAACACTACCCAAACTATTCTAAAGATACCGAAACAGGTGAAAATCTGAGAGTGCAAGATCAGGACTATTATTACTTTTTTTTTACAATTTCAGGCAATTACATTGTTGATGGGACTCCACGTACCTCAAATCGCTTCCAAAGTAGCACGAGCTTTGCCGCGCTACACGGACATCATCGTCGCTGACGTTGGTAAGAGCAAAATTTATGTCAATATAATTTTTTCGGTCTGTATTAATACCTGTTTAATTTTTTATAACAGATATTATGTTATATTATGTTAATTTGTATGAGTTTTAGGGACTGATTATTAACCTAATTGAAACGAAATCATTGTAAAGGAATTACGAGATACGTTTACAAGATTCATTATCTATGTACATACTACGTACCTGTTATATTATTATGTCGGGTAGGTCTTACTATAGGAAAGGTCTATGTCGAGCAGTGGATTGTAATGTACTATGGTTCATAAAAGATAGCTTGATCTCTGCGACAGCTGTCAGTAAAAATCACGCCTATGAAGTCCTGAATTTCTGCACTACTGCACTAATTAGGTCGGCATGCCCATAAAGTATGACATTGACAGCTACTGTCTGTACTACTAAGAAATTCAGGACTTCATAAGCGTGATTTTACTGACAGCTATCGCAGAGATCAAGCTATCTTTTATGAACTATAATCGTCATTCTGAACAAAAGAAAGGTACTATATCGCCGTCCCTTTCATACATATGGGTATGTCGCGTGACAGCGTTCTTCAGTGCGGGCAGCGCTATACGCGCAGAGGGCGCGGGCGGCGCACGCGAGGCTTTCGCGTTGCTCAATCACTGCCTCGATCTCGCCGAGGCGGCCGATGACGACGCCGCGCACACGCTCGACTATACGGACTTCGGTAAGCTAACCCAGGGTATTTGTAATAATTTTCATGTTTGTAAAAGGTAAAATAGTTTAAGTACTTAAGTTACAGCCTATATAATATGTAGGTCCCACTCTTAAACCTTCACTCATTTCTGAGATGCATTTTGGCAGACTTTGCATGTCTTCGAAATATTTTGTTTTCATTTTTCAGACCTGCAGGTTTTGTCACGATGTTTTTCAACACTGACGTGGTTAGCCAGTTCTTATAATTGCAATAATCAATTTCATTTGTACAGGCACGGATCGAACCAGGGTTGTTCGCGTATTAAAATTAAGAGCAATTGCTTAGCCCCTGAGCTACCACGGTTGTGGTTGGTATGAATTCGAGCATAGAACTTTGTTGTACAGGTTACATCGTTACTCCTCGGATTGGGTAGTTAAAACCCTTATTAATAAATAGCCACATTAAATTTGACTTTAGTAGTACAAGCAATGCTTAAAACTTAGCCATTATGTTATTAGTCAAATTAGTAATAAAATAAGTTTATGAGGAATTCCATGCTGAATCAGATGTTATTTTATCAGAGTGCACGGACTGGCCTCATAATCCGCTTCTGCTGGAGAGCGCGTGTGTTCGAGGGCCGCCGCTTGACGAACTTCGTGAATGGGTGCTGTCCGTGTCTATGGACCAGGCTGTTGAACAGGTTGTTATACTTTTTCCTATTACATCCTTTCTTAATCCAAAATTGGGACTTTTTAAGAATATACAAATTAGCATGCAAACATTTTAAGAATTGGTAAGCACATCCATATCCTAGAGCTGGTAATGTTGTACCAGTAATATAAGCGCAGAATGAAATACAAGATCTATTTGTTTTGTAGCAACAAAGGTCTGTGTGATGTCGAGGATTGGTGTCGCAAATGTACAAGTTGTGCGGTTATAAAGGGACCTCAGACTCATAGTAGAGGTGCATCAAAGTTGTACAATGTTGGCGCACCATGAGAGAGAATAGCCATTGACGTGGCGGGACCGTTTCCGGAAATTGAAAGTGGTAACAAATATTTCATGGTTGTGATGGATTACTTCACTAAGTGGCCAGAAATCTTCACCATTCCAAATCAAGAAGCTTCCACAGTTGCATATTAGTTCATGAAGTCTTCTGTCGTTCTGGAGTACCTTTGGAGATTCAAAGCGATCAAGGAAAGGATTTTAGGTCTCAAATATTCCAGGGAAATTGCCGAGTTATGGGTTCTCATAAAACAAAAACAACTTCTTACCACCCGCAATCTGATGGAATTGTAGAACAATTTAATCAGACATTGGAGAGGTACCTAGCAAAAGTTGTGGAAAACCAGCAACGAGATTGGGAAAAGCACATACAACCGTTTTTGTTGTCATATCGAAGTGCTGTTTACGAAAGTACATCTGTGACACCAGCTTTCGCAAACTTCGGAATACGGAATTACGACTGCCTGCAGACCTGATCACCGGAATACCACTTGATGCCTCACGCAGTATAACCGATTATGCAAATGACTTGCGGAACAAAATGAATGACGTTTATGAGCACGTCAGAAAATCGGGCCAGCAAATGTTCGAAAAGATAAAAAACCCGGTACGACCGCAAAATGAACAACAAAGGGTTCGACGAAGGTTCACTAGTGTGGTTGCACAATCCAGTCCGCAGTAAAGGGAAATCTCCTAAGCTTCAAGCTAAATGGGAAGGACCGTACCGGATTATGACAAGGTCCAATGTCGTAACCTATCGGATACAGAAATGTGCAAGAGGTACTCCTAAAATCGTCCATGTGGGTCGACTGACGCATTACCATGATAACTCGTCGATATTGTTCGGGCGTTCTTAGGAGGGGGCAGTGTTGCAAGCCATAATTAATGCCAATAGTGCCATCTAGTATCAAGTAGTAGACCTAGGAGAGCTTTCTAGAAAATGCCATGCTAGAACTTTCCCACTAGCACCATCTAGTATCAAGTGGCAGAACTAGGAGAGAACTTTCTACACTTAGTCGGTTGGGACCGGTATGTGCTCAAAAATTCTAGATCATCATTCATTATTACAGCCTTACAAGTCCGCTGCTGAACATAGGCCTCCCCCAAGGTATACCACAAAACACGGTCCTGAGCTACCTGCATTCATTGACTTCCTGCATGTCTTACCTGGTCATCACTCCATCTAGTGGGGGTCACCCTACACTTCGCCTACCGATACGAGGCTGCAATTCGAGAACCTTTTTTCCCCAGCGGTTGTCGGTTCTTCGACCTATATGGCCGGCCCATTGCTACTTCAGCTTACTAATCCGTTGGGTTGTGTCGGTTACTCTGGTTCTACTGCGGATATCCTCATTTCTAAGTTTATCACGCAGAGAAACCCCGAGCATAACCCTCTCCATAGCTCGCTACGCAACTTTGAGTGTCCTCATACGGCCAGCAGTGAAGGACCACGTCTCAGTTCCATAGGTCATCACTGGCAACACGCACTGGTTGTATAGTCTCGTTTTCAGGTTTTGAGGTATAGCTGACGAGAAGATGTGACGTAATTTCCCGAACGCTGCCCAGCCGAGTTGAATCCGATTGAATGGTCGATTGACCTCTCGGTCAAAGTTGGACTTACCTAGTCGGACTATTTGTCCCAGTTAAACGTACTCGTCAACAACTTCGAGCTTAGCGCTCCCAACAACTACCGGGATGGGAGTGACATGGACATTAAACATGATCTTTGTTTTGTCCATGTTCATCTTAAGACCTATCCGTTGGCAGACACTATTGATGTCATTGTGCATAGTGCTTAGGTCTTTTAGTGATTCTGCCATAAGGACTATATCGTCGGCAAATCAGGTGAGTGATGCACTCGCCATCGATTTTAAAACCGTATCGTTTCCAATCCAGTGAAAACGTCTTCCAATGCAGCGGTGAAGAGTTTCGAGGAAATAACGTCACCCTGTCTTACACCTTTCTGCAGTTGGATAGGTTTCGTTCTCTGGTTCTGTACTCGGATAGCCATCGTAGCCCTACTGTACAAACGTTTCATTGGAATAGTATCGGATAAGACTTGCTCTGGGAACGTTACTACATACTTGCCTGTGGCTCCAACGATGATGTATACAGCTGCCCATAGAACCTCTCAATCTCACTCAAAATCTCAGGTAAGCCTTTTCCACTGAAATATTCTAGATGTTTCTGTGGAAAGGGCCTATATAAGGCCAGTATAGACCGCGGTCGAGGCAGTATTGATGCAGATTTGCTTGGCAAAACAAGCGAATACTTCGAAGCGATATAACTTCGAACTAAAGTGTTAAGTATGATTAATTATTATTGTGTTTTAAGTTGTAATTGGTCTTCGGGAATTAAAGTGTCAATTTTGGTAATTCAATCGGCAGTTTTTACTGCCACGAACCCTAAGCTTGAAAGAATATTAAGGCCGGTACTATAGGCACTACCGCCGATTATCGACAATGAATCTCGACAAATGAATGGCGAGAATTTTGAGAAGATGTCGAAAAGCTTTTGCCTTCACTTCATTGTGGTAATGCACAACGCATCTTACCATAGTGTTCAGCTAAATAAGCCTCCAACAAAAAGTTCACTTAAATCTGCAATGATAAAATGGTTGGAAGACAATAACATTTCTTCCAACAGGTCAATGAGGAAACCAGATTTATTTGAAATTATAGAACAATACAGACCCGTTGAGATCAATTATAAAATTGACAATATAATTAAAGAACATGGCCATGAAGTTATAAGACTACCTCCATATATGTGCAATTTAAATTCTTTTAAATTAGCCTGGGCACCATTAAACGCTCAGGGAACACACCATGAAGAGCGATTTGTGTTTGATAAAACTGAAAGAGTTAACAACGAATGCAATTTCGACAGTAATGGCAGAAAACTGGGCAAATATCGATAAAGATGCTCAGAAACTGGAGGATTAAGACTGGGAAAAGGATGTAGGAATAGAAAATGTAATGATAGATTTTATGATATGACTTTAATATTATAAAAAGTAAAAGCTAACCTATAAGAACTTAAAAAATATTTTTTATGTAACAACTTCTGGATTCGAGGTGTTAAGCCTGTCTATACACTATGTACCTACTTCCGAAGCTGTTATCAGTAATTATTTTGTTATTTTTAGTTCTTTGAATTTGGATTTAACATTTTGATTAAAATTTGCATTTTTCCTGTATACAAGCCTTTTTAAAAACATCAAAAAGTGTATGCATAACTTGAAAGGTTTTTTTCGTGTTACTTATTATTATTTTTATTTATTATATTCTTTATTGCACCAAAGATTTTGTACAAAGGGTGAGTTTAATGCTATATGGCATTCTCTACCAGCTAACCTTGGGTAGAACAGAGAGTGAGTTACTAGGTTGAATGGGCATTTAGGATAAATGGACAAGTTTTCAAACGGAAGAGCTATGTTTGTTATTCAAGTGGACGTGCAGATAAAGTTAGTATTTAGAGAAAAAAAAATGGTTACATCCTCTTTACAATGTATAGAAAACTATGAATGGTTTTAATTTCTGCAGAGTCTGCCACTGGACAAACGTGGTATGTACGCAGCCAGTGTAAGCGGAGACGAACCGTGCTGCATTATCACGGGACACCCGCTTGGATCGCGACTCGTTACATTCTCCAACGGTAAGCCCCCAATTATATTCGACAAATAGAAAATAATACGGTGGTTGATAATTTTGCAAATGAAAATGCTCGAAGGGCATAAAATATTTCATATCCTTATGTTGATGAATTTAAATAAACAAATACGGTTGACCCTGCAGGCTATTCCAGCAACTTCCCGCTAAAAAAATTCAAATGCAAAGCGCTTCAAATTTCACCTATTATGACGTGTTTCGTTCTAAAATTTTCAAGAGGAACTCAAGAGAAGAGAATTTCTTTTGAACGAATGAACCGATTTTGCGGTGCGGTTGCGGTTTGCTGCAATTGATGTTGTTTTTTGAGGTTAAGAGCTGATTAGATTTTGGAATCGATCGATACATTAATTAAAAGGTTATCTAAAAAAAAAACATTTGAAAATTTAGATTTTGAGATGTTTTTGATAAAGCCTCTTAGTACTCTTTCGAAAGCCGTGAACCGCGTTTCGATCAGTCAAGCCGTTTAAAAGTTAAAAGGAATTAACACACACACACATACACACACACACACACACTCTATCTCTCTCTCTCTCTCTCTATATATATATATATATATATATATATATATATATATATATATATATATATATATATATATATAATATCTCTATAGTATACATATATATACAGTTTTAAATCGCATTTCTTCTTTCATAATATGAAAAGCAGCATTTATTTTTCCAATCAACTCTTCTTTTGTATGTATTTCATTTTCGTATACAATTTCCTTTGCTCGGCCCCAGACATAAAAATCCATTGGAGTCAGATCTGGAGATCTCGCAGGCCATTCGATAGGTCCGAGTCTCCCTATCCACGTGTTCGGAAATACCGCATCTAAATATTCCCTTACGGTTCTGCGATAGTGGGCAGGGCAGCCATCGTTTTGAAATATTATTCTTGTGTCCTCATTCATTATTGGTACCTCGCTCATTAGTTCCGGGAGATCATTTTGTAAAAAATGTAAATAATTATCTCCGTTTAAATTATCAGGTAGATAATGAGGACCGATTAAATATCTTCCAATCACACCTACCCACACGTTAACACTAAATCGTGTCTGATGCGATATTTGTCTCGTTTT